AGGAAGCTGTGGGAAACAGGTAGATACTGGCAAAGAGTACAAACTCCCCCTTACAAGATTATTAAGTTCTGAGGGTCCAAAGTACAGGCCTGTGATTACAGTTAACAAAACTATATCATATATTTGAAAGTTGCTAAGAAAATAGATCTAAATATTGTCATCACAAAAAAGAAATGATAACTATATGAAGTGACAGAGTTAACACTATTATGATTTTACAATATAAAAGTGCATCAAATTAATACAGGTATACCTTACACCTACACTGTTTTATGTCACTTATAATTCAATTTGGAAAAATTCAAAAATACTCATATGTAGTTATATATCATTTGAAAATAGCAATAATCTGATTATTTTATTTTAATTTTGTTTGAAAATAAAATGATTTGGGGGCACCTAAGTGGCTCAGTCGGTTAAGTGTCTGCCTTCAGCTCAGGTCATGATCTCAGGGTCGTGGGAATGAGCCCCCTATCAGGCTTCCAGTTGAGTGGGAAGTAGGCTTCTCCTTCTGCCTCTGCCCCTCCTTCCTGCTCCTGCACCCTTGTTCTCAATCTCTCCCTCCCTCTTCGAAATAAATAAATAATTTAAATAATATTTTAAAGGGAAAAAAGAAAAGAAAATGGTTTGGTAACTTTTGCATACTTTTACCCTAGTATCTAATCCTAATACGAAAAAGCTAGATTTATGGGACGCCTTGGTGGCTCAGCGGTTGAGCGTCTGTCTTTGGCTCAGGGCATGGGCCTGGTCCCAGATTGAGTCCCACGTTAGGCTCCTTGAGAGGAACCTGCTTCTCCCTCTGTCTGTGTTTCTGTCTTTCTCTATGTGTAATGGATCAATGCCGTCTGGCCTCACTCACCAACCAAACAATGTCAGCTTCTCCCTCCTGAAAGATAGCCAATATGGGACAAAATCGCTGATACACATGCCTTGAGTGCTAACCAATCAACAACAGTTTTATGCACATTATCATTTGCTTCAGATGATGACAAACCACTTAATTCTCTGAAAGTCTCCCAAACCTTAAACTCTACTTTTCCTGAAACCCTATATAAGAATTGAAGACTACTCTGTCAGAAAAGACTGTAAGTGATCAGCATAGTTCCCTCTTATTAAGCAATAAATTCCAACTTCATCTTTTTATTTCAGATATTGAGGGCTCAGAATTCTTTGGAAAGTTTTTAAAAGTCCTATAATAATTTACCACCATATTTCATTTTCCTTAATGAAACATAAATGAAGTTTGCTCTTCCTTTGTTCCATTCTACTATAATTAAGACTAACATAAATACCACTAAAAGAATAAGTACCAAGTAACCACAATATTAAACCCCCCAAAATCCAAAAAATGCAGATAGCTGACAGATTAAATTGTCAGAATGGACCCATGTCAAACTTTCTTTTTGTTTAAGTGAGAATTGGTATTATGTTAAAAACAAGACACACGGTTTATTAAACTCCATTCACTCAACATTTATTGAATAGCATTATATATGCTAGAATGTTCTCTAAGCACTGAAGACACAGCCATGAACAGAAAAATCCTACTCATGAGTAAAGTAAACATAATAACAATAGACTATCCAGGCAAAATACACAGTATGAGAGGAGAAAAACTAAAGCAGAGAAATCAAATTTCAATGTGTTGCAGGGAAAGGGGTGGTTGAAATACTAGTCAGGATAAACCAAGAAGGGCCTTGCTGAGAAAGTGACCTTTAAGCAAAAACCAGGGAGAAAAGGAGGGAGCAAGGAGTAAGCCATGAGGATACCTGAGAGAAAAGCACTCCAGAGAGAATTACTGGCAAGTACAGAGGTATCCCTGAAGTGTTTATAATTTGAAGCAGGGTGGAGAGGGGGTGAGGGTGTGGGGGGGAAGTAGTGAGAAATTCAAGTGTGGCTGGACAGAATGAAAGGGATAGAAAGTAGTTCAAATCAGAGAGAGAGAGAGAGGGAGGAAAGGATAGGGAGAGACCTGAGATGAACAAGTCATATAAGGCCTTGTAGGTATTAGAAAGAACTTCAGCATGTACTCTGAGTGAATGGGAAGCAATTAGGTTTTGAGCAGAGGAGGACATAATCTGACTTATGTTTTAATAGATCCACTGTGTTTAGAATTAGTGGAAGCAGAGAAAAAAGAAAAAAACAAGAAGACAAATTAGTTGTTACAATAATATAGACAACAGATGATAGTGGCTTGGTCATGGAAGATGTGTTTGGCTTTTGGATATATTTTGAAGAAAGACCTGCAAGATTTGCTGACAGATTAGATGTGACATGTATGAAAAAGAAAAAAGACAGGAGTCAAAGACGATACCAATTTTTTTGGCCGAGCAACTGGAAGAACTGTCATTAACTCAATTAGGAAAGACGGGCAGTATAAGAAAGAATATCAGTAGTTCAATTTTGGACATGTTAAGTTTGCCATACCCAATAGCTATCCCAAAGAGATATCAAGTAGGCAGTTTCATATAAAGGTCTGGAATTATGCAGAGAGATATGGGCCAGAGACATAAACTTGAGGATCATTAGAATATACAAAATAGTAAAAAACAAGAGAAAGAAGATCAAGGATTGATTCCTAAGACTTCAAGGTGTAGTAAGAGGTGAGGGATGAGGTGAAAGAAGCAAATCAGGCTGAGATATACAGACTAGAAAGGCAGGAGGAATCCAGGTGAGTGAATGATATCCTGAAAGCAAAATGAAGACAGAATTTTGGAGAAGAGAGTTTTCTATTGGGGCAAATATTGCTGATAGGTTCAATAAAATGAGATCTAAGAAATTATGTCTTGAGTTATTAAAGTGAAAATCAAATGGTAACCTTTTTATTAAAGTGAAAATCAAATGGTAACCTGAAAAATCAATTCTGGAGTAGTGGGAGTGAAAATTAATAGAGTGAATTAAAAAAAAATAGTGAATTCAAGAATGGATGGGAGGGAAATGAGGATCACTGAGTACATGATTCTTTTAAGGATTTCATAGCTAAGTGGATCACGGGTGATTTAATTATCTTGTTTAGCTGTAGTTTTCAATCCTTATACAACGATGATGTAGAATTTTTGTAATATTTTGGAGTTTTTAAAATTATATACATGTAGCACTAATTCTTTTTCTTAATGCCAGACCAAGGGACAACTGGATGGTTCAGTCAGTTAGGCCTCCAACTCTTGATTTTGGCTCAGGATATGATCTCACAGTTGTGGGATCAAGACTTGCATTGTGCTCTGCTCTCAGTGCCAAGTTTGCTTGTTACCCCCATGCTTCCCTAACATAAATAAATAAAATCTTGAAAAAAAAAAAGCCAGACCAAGACATCAAATAATTCACAAAATTACACAACCAAAACACTCCTCAAAACTTTTCTAGATATATGAGTATATAACCTGATTATCATTTTTCTCATGCTTAGAAAGACTATGGAAAAACTAAGTTTCAATAGCAGTATTATACATTTGATAAAAATCATCTAACTCTAAATTATCTTATACTATCCAAAATAATTAGTCATATTAAAATTCTATAAGTATAAGGGGTTTGGAATGCAGAAAGTATTGCTATTTTGTAAACTGAATTTTCGTAAATTATATAATATGAAGTCACTATTGAAAAATTTGGTGTGGTGCATGTTGAAATATATTCTCTTTTAAAAGGATGGATAAGTCTGGGTGGCTCAGTCTGTTAAGCATCTGCCTTCAGCTTAGGTTATAATCCTGAAGTCCCAGGATCAAGCCCTGCTTCAGGCTCCCTGCAGGGAGCCTGCTTCTCCCTCTGCCTCTGCTGCTCTCTGCACTCATACTCACTCTCTCTCAAATAAATAATCCTAAAAAATTTTTCAAAGGAAAAATAATAGCATGTATGCAAGGTACCTTAAAAAGAAGACTCACTGCATTAGCAACCTCTTGGTTTATAGCGCAGGGAACAAATGTTTATATAGAATAAGGGACAAGTTGCCAGGTGAAATCTCTTGGGAATGTTCAGATCAATTTGAGAGTCCAACATTTGAGCACTCATGCATTGGGAACCAAAACCAAAAACCTAATAATTAGCAATTTTGTTGGTAATAAGGTAGAGTGCTAGCAGGTAATTTTCTTTTGCAACTCAGCAGATATTAACAGTATTCTAAAGTTTCTGTTAAGACATCAAACTAAACACTTTAAATATATTTTGTTAAACAATCAAAACCCTGTAGACCTAAATTCATTTTTTCAAATCATCACATACTGCATTGTTTTATAGGTGTGAAAATTTACTTCCTTATGGATGGATAGTTGGAGTACTTCCCACTTTTCGATAAGTGAATGCTGTAATAAATAATCTTAATATATATAACATGTTTATGTAAGTATTCTTAACATATCTGTCATATTTTATATATATATCTAATATATAATAAATGTGCTTAAAATGTGTGTGTCTAAGTGTTGACACAAGTCATGTTTTCCTCTAGGATCTACTCCTGGCAATGAAACTGTTGGGATAAAGGGACAGCATATTTGAAATTTTGAAATGCACTGCTACATTGCCCTTCAGAAAGGATTTGTCAATTTCTTTTCTTTTTTTTTTTAAGATTTTTATTTATTTATTCACAAGAGACACACAGAGAGGCAGAGACATGGGCTGAGGGAGAAGCAGGCTCCCCATGGGAAATCTAATGCAAGACTCGATCCACGACCCCGGGATCACAACCCGAGCCAAAGGCAGACAATCAACCACTGGACCACTTAGGTGCCCCAGATTTGCCAATTTCATTTAACAATAGTGTATGAGAATGACTTTTTCCTCACATTTGCTAACCTAGGTTATTATTTTTTTAATTAAATATTGATCACTATGCCTGCAAAATAAAATGGTATCTTGTTGGTCTTTGCATTTTTCTAACACCCAGAGTGGAATATCTCTACTAAAAATATAAAATGTGTTAATTATGAACATTAGATCCAACTAGAATTTGCTTTGTAGAAAAATGATAATTATCTACTGTTTTAATATTGCTATAGGCTTACGCATCAGAATCTTCATTCTGCATAGTAGGAAACAGGTGGTTATCAGTTTTGCCATTCTTTCTTTGTTGAATTAGTCCAGCAGCAGCAGCAGCATATATGTTTTCTGCTCCTTCCATTTTACTACTCTTCTGCTTCTTCCTTTTTTCTTCAATCTTCAATGGAAATTTGATACTAAGGATAATTGTTACTACTTTATTCATTAAAAAGAATTTTCTTCATTAATTATATCATTTGACTCAGTTCATAATTTTAATCAATAAAAATATTTTGCACTTCATCATTACATGTAATTGCAATTTTTGTAAATTCTGCTTCATTCCTGTTTGAATAAAAACAGAATTTTCTAAAATTTCAAAAAGGGCATTCTTAATTTTGTATTCATATCTATACTTTGCCACCTAATATTCCCAACTTCACCCCATCTGATCAGCAAATTTCAAAGAAATAAAAAGACAAAGACACAAAAATTTGTCCTCTTCTGTCTTTACCACCTGGGGTTTGCTTAAACAGACAGATTTAAAGGATGTGACATTGTGATGCTCCAGGAACAAATAGGAAGGTTTCCATTTTTGCATTGAGCTGTTCTTTCCCCAACTGCCTCTTATAATTCTTTTTTTTCATTTGGATCCTAGGGCTATCAAAAGTCACTGTTCATTAAAATATGTGAAGCAAAGTTCACCATAAAACAAAGCAGAGCAAAACTGATATTAGTGTAGAATTTTGGGAAATGAGTAATGCTCCCCAAATTTCATATTTGATAACCATAAAATTTTATAGCTAGAGGGTATTAAAAGTAATTATCAACTTTAATTCCATTTCCTACTGATAACGGGAGTAAAACCAAAAAAGGTTACATGATTTGTCCAAAGTTCCTAAAGTGGCATTACCTAGCATCAAAAGAGATGAAACAATTCCTTAATGATGAATTAAATAAATTACCAAACAAATTCATTAAATTAATTAGCTACACTGAAAGTGTGACTTTGGCACAGTAATTAAATACCTTATTTGAGGATGAGGCACTTAGCTAATTTTTATTTTAAAGGAGGGTATCTCTAGATTTTTGTTTATTTTTACCTCAAAAGTCAGTTGTCTCCATTAGAGTCAAATACTGAAGGTTTGCTGAAAATCTATGCTACCTACATGATAAAAATCATATATGCCAAAATATACCATACTTTATTAAACATAATGTAAAGGTTTGACTCAACAGAAATACCTGAGAATGGTGATTAAATAAACATATATATATGGGCATCTGGGTGGCTCAGTTGGTTAAGCATCTGCCTTTGGCTCAGGTCATGATCCCCGGGTCCTGGGATCAAGCCCCATGCATCAGGTTTCCTGCTCTGCCAGGAGCCTGTTTCTCCCTTTCCCTTCTACAGGTGCCCCCCCTGGTTGTGCTCTCTCTCTGTGTCAAATAAGTGAACCTTAAAAAAATATTTTTAAATGTGGAGGAGATGTCTGGGTGGCTCAGTCTGTTGGGCCTCCAGTTCTTGATGACTCAGAGCTGACTGAGGTCATGATCTCATGGTCAGGGGATGGAGCCCAGCCTCAGGCTCCTCACTCACTGGGGAGTCTGCTTCTCTCCTTAGCTCTCTCTCTGGCTGCCCCTCACCCTGCTCACACTCTCTATAAATAAATAAATAAATAAATAAATAAATAAATAAATAAATAAATAAATAAATAAATAAATAAATAAATGAATGAATGAATAAATAAATAAATTCTGTAAGGAATAAAGTCTGCTTTTAAAGACATGTAGAAAAAAAACTGTTGATAATGCAGTTTATTTGTTACTAAAAATATCTCAAAGCAGTCATGTTGGAATTCTAAGTTCAAAGGATTTGAGGAAAGCAGAGAGGATTGCACATACTGAAGCAATAAATAGACTGGTTTAGCTGAAATATTTGTTTATATCCCTTCTCTTAGTTATTGCTTCTTTTCCATTGTATTGTTTATGGAGATGCAATTTATATTTAAGCCAATAGATAAAAACCCTAGACATTGTGATATATTTTTTAAAGATATATGTATTTTAGAGAACAAAAATAATAGCATGAGAAAGGCACACAGGGAGAGAGAAACTCCAGCAGACTCCATGCTAGCTAAGCACAGAGCCCAACGTGGGGCTCAATTTCACAACCCTGAGATCACAACCCAAGCCAAAAACAAGACTTGGACTCTCGACTGACTGTGCCCCCCAGGCACCCCAAGATAATCGCATTTTTTACAGCAATATTCTCTATGGTTATTTTGGTTCATGAAGTCACAGGGTGCACAGCTAAATCAGCTTCCCAGTTCATACACCACTTGGGAAACTGAAAGAAACTTAAGGAAAACAAATATATTTTCTTGCATTCCTATCATTTAGATAGCAGAAATAATCTATTTCCAAACACAATTATATATTGAGACAACCCATTTTATACATGAGCTTTTTTCATAAGTGGAAAATCAAATTGGCTCAGATAATTGATAAAGAGGAAAAAAACAAAAGAGCAGCAGCTCTTTTGGAAGTTGAACTTTCAGGAGTTCTACTTGTAACATGCTCTTCTCATTCTTAAACCTTTGCATATCTTGCTGTCATTCTTCTTTTAGATATACTTCTGATGTTCCGAAACTATGAGGTAAAGAACTCATGTTTTCTAATTCAGGTTCCGTACTTTTATAGTTATTAGTATTGTTATTATCTGCATATAATGGCTTCTAGAACAAGTCTTGTATTGGTTTTGTTTTCTTGTGTTTGTAATAGCAGAAGTATCATGCCTCTTCATTTGAGTCATTTGTTTCATCACATTGGAGTGAGCAAGACACAAATCAAAAAGGCTTTCTGGGTCACTATACGGAGGTATATACCCAGTGTCTAATTTACAAATAGTAGTATTTTGGTTCATATTTTTGGCCATCTGCATGTCAAACTCTTGGTCTTCTTTCACTTCACATGTAACTAGTGGGTTCCTTACTTTTTTATTTTCAGTATCATTATAAAAACTCTCATTTTTGTTACAAACATGTTCAATTGGTTTGTTACCATTTTTACAGTCTGATTTATTTTCATGTAAAGAAAGCTTAGAAGATGACTGGCAAGCACAGTCCAGGGACCCAAAGTGAATGAGAGAGAATGACATTTTTGAGACTAGACTCTTTTTTATTCAGGGAAGGCCTGAGATACTACAGAGACAGACACTCCAAATTCATCTTTTTCCTCACAATCGAGTGTAATATTTGACAAATTAGATGATATTGCCTTTAAGTCTGCTCCTACTTTAGAGTCAGCACGTAGTGGCTCTTCCTCAGGATAAGTAGTAATTTGTTATTTTCCACAAATTTAAACCAAACTTCAGCTTTAACTCTCTGCTAATGAGTTTTACATTATTTTCCCAATCTAATTACCCTTGTTTCATCCACATTTCCTCATACTTTTACACACAAGGATGTTCTGAGTGTACAGATCTATCATCCTATCACATTCCTTATTCATTTCTGGTTCTTGAGCCATTTTTTGCAGTTGCAAAAATGGAATCCTAATTTGCTTGGTTTGACTTTCAGATGTCTCTTCTGCCAGGATATATGTTTGTAAAATAACTTTACCTTTAAGTAATCAAGTATGGACAAAGGAAAATTAGAAAAGAATTAAAATTTTGTTATTTGCTGCTCCCAAGTCACTGGATTATAACTAAGAAGTGAAGACAGAAGAAAACCACAAATCCATACACTTAAATTTTCTCAGGTTTTTTTTTTTTAACTAAATAATTCATCCACCAAAAAATGAATTAGATGATTTTTAATGTTACAAACTTAAAAACATTTTATCTCATCATATCTTAAACAGTGAGCTCGTACAATGCATTTTAGGTTGTTTTTTTTTTTTTTAAAGATTTTATTTATTTATTCATAATAGTCACAGAGAGACAGAGGCAGAGACACAGGCAGAGGGAGAAGCAGGCTCCATGCAGGGAGCCCGACGTGGGATTCGATCCTGGGTCTCCAGGATCGTGCCCCGGGCCAAAGGCAGGTGCTAAACCACTGTGCCACCCAGGGATTCAATTTTAGGGTTTTTAAAAAGATTAATGCCTAGAGAATAGGCAAACTAAATTATTAGGAGCCAACATCAATTAACATCAATCAAAGAAAAGTAAATTTCTACATTTTAATTCAAATTATATACTATGATAGTGTTAAACATTGCTATACATTATGTGCTTATATCCAGTTCTAATATCTTGTAATATCCACTGAGAGTGGATAAGAAAAATATTAATAATACTTACTTGATTTCCTATGCTGAAATAAAATAACTGAAAAAGTTATTGTGTATAATCCAACTATAAAGGTCCCATCCGGGAAGGTGTGATTCTACAATAGGCAATTGTGTTGATTTTGTGATCCCATTCTCCGAAGTCAACTACACAGAGATCACAAGGCAGAATAAATCTTTAATCTTGGCATTTGTAACTGGCAATAGAGAACTAACACACTTTGAACCACTGAGAATAATTACTCCTTGTACATGAATCTAAGTCTGTAGTCATCATTGTTATACTACTCATAATTCTAAGTGCTTAAACATATGATTCAATATTTGATGCTACCTTCTTTATCATGTAAAGAAGTTACAAAAATGAGAGAGGCTAAGAATATTTAGAAATTTTTTTGCCTCAATTCCAAGGATGAAGTTTAGCTAACCGTTACTAAAAATTACAACAATATTTTAAGTTTTGTAACTTGTAAAGTTTTATTAAAACTAAATATTAAATTATAATATGTTGATTTCAATATGTCTGCTCAAAGATAATTTCACTTGAACCATGTTACATTAGTAAAGCAGGGAAAACAATATAAAATCAGAAATTTAAATTTTTACATACCTGTGGGTGGTTATTTTCACTTTCATCAGGTCTTTCTTGCTCTTCCTCTGATGCCACTTCTAAATCTAGTTCTGCTGACAAATCTATAGATTTAGTTAAAACAGGCTACTTAGAATGGTTAGATAAAAGCTTTACCTCTATAAAAATAGAAAATAATATTTTATCAATGAAGAGTTTAAATTAATCTTTAGTTGAAAGTTTACTTTAAGAAATACTTCTAATTATCTAAAATTTCAACAAACCATTTGAGAAATACTAAATGTCACCAGGTTAAAGGCACACAAACATCTCCAAGATTCATTCAGAAATTCATCCACTTAACATCAATGAATAAAACAATCAGAAAGAAAACAAAAATTTAAAATACAGTAGAAACATATAAAATCACAAGAGATTATTTTCTACTTTGTAACAGTAACTCTTAACACCCTAAGCTTCAACCACAGCATTATTCATCATTTCCAAAATTACTAGTACTCTTCATGCCTTTATTAGTGTACCTCGTCCTTATGGGTGTATGTCCCTGAGGAGCAAACATTCTGAAATGTTTTCCTCTACTACTTAGCAAATTTCTTTGCATCTTTTAGGACTCAGACTGCTATGTAAAGTCATCCTTGATTATGAGTATCCTTCCCAGATAAAAATGTATCTGTTTCTTTGGGGTTACCTTAGTACTGTACAGATTTTTCTAGTGTAACTTCATCACCTGAACTGTAAACTACTTCTTTATGTACCTAGTTCTTTTGCTCCTACACTGTATGGGACAATCTCAACCTCTCTCTCTCTCTCTTTAGAGAGGAAGAGAGGGGGAGGAGCAGAAGAATAGAGAGAATTTTGAGTGGGCTCCACTCCCAGTGCTGAGCCCCACGTAGAGCTCCATCTCAGAGATGGAGATGAACTGAGATATGACCTGAACTGAAATCAAGAGCTGGACGCTCAACCAACTGAACCAACCAGGTGTCCCTGTAGGGGACATTCTCTTAAATCATCTTTGTGTAAATAGTCTTTATGTTACTTAGTAATTATTTACGGAGTTCCCACTAAGTGCTAGGGGACCGGATTTAAAAAAGCGTGTATATATAAGGTGTCAGGAATAGCTTTTTTAGAGATAATGCCTAAACTGAGACTGCAACAGTGACGTCAGACAGATTCAAAGGGATGAGAGGGCAGAAAATGGGGAGAGCATGCAAGGCTGTAGTAAGACAAGGGAGAGAAGCACACAACAGGGTAAACATTTGCCTAAAATACAGGGATCAAAGAGGAAAACATCACTAGCAGTTCAGGATGTCAGAGATAAGGGCAGACGGTATAAAGGGCAAAAGATGGAGAGTTAGGCAGACGTCAAGATTATGAAAGCTTTGTATGTAATTTTAAGATGCCTGGACACAAATACGTTTTCAACAGTGGTTCATGGTCATATATACATTTGAGACAGATCGCTGTAAATGCTGTGGGGAGGGATGAATTTGAGGGGCACTGTAATAAAAGACAGGAGATGAATTAGAAGGCAGGAATGCAAAACAAAGATGATACATGCCTGAACTGACAGAATGGTTCCAGAAATATTCAGAATATAAAATTATCAGGGCCCAGTACAGAATAAATCTCTATTAAGTGAATCAACAACAATCCTGGGTCCCTGGAGAACTGAGTTCATGACTTTATAAAAGGCATCAAGTGAAAAGAAATAATTTACATGAGCTGTTTTAAATTGCTTGTATTTATTTTGTGATTTTTCTGTTTTACATTTTCTTGTGGTACAGGAGCCTATAGGTGTTTTGTTTTTAAAGTCCTGCTTCTTGGATCTACCAAGCTCATGAAGAAGTAACAGCAAACAAGTCACTTGTATAGGTCAACAACTTTGGATTTACAGCATATACTCACTACTCTAGGAGATAATTGAAAATCTTTAGAAAATAAGTTAATTCTAGAAGAAAGAAAATAACATAAAACTATAGGAGTGAAAAAATATTGCATGATTTATTAGTACAGACATGATCATATGACTGATAAAGGACACTGGATTAACTGGTACAATAATTAGAACACATGTTAGATGTGGTTAATCAACTGAGAATCTTAGTAGAATTACAATTGACTTTCTATATATTATTTTTGAATGATACAGTACACCTTAAAACCAATATTCCTTGTGAACTCTTTACTCATTTAAAATAATAAAACAGCACCTGGGTGGCTCAGCCAGTTAAGTATCCAACTCTTGATTTCAGCTCAGGTCACGATCTCATGGTTGTGAGACTGAGTCCCGCAGTGGGTTCCATGCTGAGTGTGGAGCCTACTTAGGATTCTCTCTCTCCTTCTGCTTCTCCCTTCCTCCTCACTTTCTCACTCTTTTCAAAAAAGTAAAATAAAAATAATCAAACAAAGAGATGGACTATACCAACATAGCTGAGAAGAGAATACTATGTAGTAAATTCTCAACGATTCCCATTACTGCTGAGAAAGTCAACTCCAAAATAAAGTCATAGAGAATATAGGAAATATTTTAAATTTTTTTTTATTTTTTATTTATGATAGTCACAGAGAGAGAAAGAGAGAGAGGCAGAGACATAGGCAGAGGGAGAAGCAGGCTCCATGCACTGGGAGCCCAATGTGGGATTCGATCCCGAGTCTCCAGGATCGCGCCCTGGGTCAAAGGCAGGCGCCAAACCGCTGCGCCACCCAGGGATCCCGGAAATATTTTAATATTCTGTTTGAGAAGGTGTTTTTTTTTTTTTGTTACAGTAAATATAGTATGACCAATACTTATGAATTTAGAGCTAAAAAACTAAACTAAGAAACTGTTTTGAGTAAACAATCTTTACATCTCTATCTAGTTTTCCCAACTGGCCCCCAAATTCTAAATATAATCCTGCTACCCACTCTCAAGTGAATGCTGAATACGAGCCTAAAAGAAATTATTTTCTTCTAATTCTCTTATTTATATGTAGCTTTGGTTAGAGGAAGAATGCAAATGTCTTGCTAAAAGATGCTCTCTTCGGTGGTAGGTTGCATGAAAGGAGTAAACACAAAGTAAATTTTGCCACAAAATTAGTTTTGAAAAATCAGAACTATGGTAAAGTCATGAAGAGTCTGAATTCTCTATGATTCTTTACCTTTTTTGCTCTTTCTGTTTTCTGGTAGCTCTGATTCACACAGGTCATGGAGTGTAGAATTCTCTAATAGAAACACAGCTCCAATATTAATATTTTCTTTATCCATTAAGGTCATCTGTCCAAATTCTGTGGATGCGGACTCAATTTTGGTCATTGGTTGTGATACAAATGGGCATTTATCATCAACTTTCAAATCCCCAGTTCTTTGACAAGTCTCATTACCGAGGGATAAACTAGAATCCCAATCGGAAAAATCTGAAAACAAAGTTTCATTTATTAGAATGTAAATAACAATACAAACTTAACTAATTTGTATAAATTCTTTTCTTAGAGAAACAGTCCCAAGTCCTGCTCTTCTCCCAGACGCACTGCTTACCACTCATTCGCAGCTAATTATATTTTACATGTCCTATACTTGGCATTCACACAGATGAATTTAACTCTCATTTTTTCTTTTTTATTCTCTAGTATTACATAGTTTAATTCACTCACCAAGCTCTATTACATACTCTATATTCCATAAAAGCTCTGTTCATTGATAATTAGGATTCTTCAAGGTCTGAATGTTTTTAGTTCCAAATGATGTCTAACCATTTATTTTATGTTTAAGTATGGCATTTTGCATTCTAAAGACATGAGTTTCATTTTTATTTATTTATTTATTTATTTATTTATTTATTTAATTCTATTTATTTATTTATAAAGATTTTATTTATTTATCCATGACAGAGAGAGAGAGAGAGAGAGAGAGAGAGATAGAGAGAGGCAGAGACATAGGAGAAGGGAGAAGCAGGCTCCATGCAGGGAGGCCCACGCAGGACTCGATCCCGGGTCTCCAAGATCATGCCCTGGGCTGAAGGTGGCGCTAAACTGCCAAGCCACCAGGGCTGCCCAAGACATGAGTTTTAAAAAACTTTTAATGAATGGTACTACTTTAATTATAATGAGATGGTCTTTCCTCAATGAACCAAAATTCTCAGAATTTAATTTTTGGACAAATGTATTTATATGAGAAATGAAAGTCTTGGGTAATATAATCGTTTCCATGTAAAAACAAAATAAGTCTCAATCCACACTGAGATCCAAAAACTACAGTGCCATGAAACAGAAAACAATATAACAAAACTACTGTCCCTTGTTTTAAACAAGATTGGTCTGATTTAAACCTCTTAAAACAAGGGAAAGAAAAAAGCAAGAAATGCAGAAATGAAACTTTAATGCCCATTTCATCACAAAGGCCCCTTTATCATTTTAGGTCCATGAACCCTGTACATGGTTTAAAACAGTTCTCCCATGTCATCTGAGAATCCCCAGAGTCCCAAGATCCATCGATTCACAAAATCCAAGAGGTCAAAACTATCTTCACAATAATATCAAATGTTATTTGATATTTTCACTCTCGTTCTCTTATTAAGTTTACAGTAAAGTTTTCTGAAGATAAAATGTGTGATAGCATCACAACTCGCATGATTAGCAGATCACAGCTCTAATGGCTAACAACATGAGATTGTGTATGCTTGTGTTTTAAATGTCTAACTTCTAAGATTGTAAATATCAACAGATATAATCCACTTAAACAGACGTTCTTTGGAATTCCCAATAATTTTTTTAAAGATTTTTATTTATTCATGAGAGACAGAGAGAGAGAGAGGCAGAGACCCAGGCAGAGGTAGAAGCAGGCTCCATGCAGGGAGCCCAATCTTGGGACTCCAGGATCACATACTGAGCCGAAGGTGGTGCTACACCACTGAGCCACCCAGGCTGCCCTCCCAATAATTTTTAAATAGTGCAAAAGGACTCTAGGCCAAAAAGGTTCAGAACTACTGTTTTAAGATTGTGTCTACCAAATATTAAGATACAACTAATTCCTTCCCACATTTTTAATAAAGTCACCATACATACCTGCACGTGCATGCACACTCACACAGTCTGCTAATCAGAACAAGTGTTTCACTTAAAATGATTAATATAATACAAAGATGAAATGAAGTTAAAACACAACTGACATGTTAGCAAGTGAAGCTTTGCTTTAGGTAATAGAATTCAAGTAAGTATGGTGAACAGTGGAAAAGTCTTAGAGTCTAATAATTAACTTCTGGGAATCCCAAAGAAGTAAAGGAATTCCAAACTGGGAACATTAGGATTTCAAAACTTAAAAGTAGAAACTTGAGCTAAAGGTTACATTTTTAAAATCTCTTTTTCCTATGTTTGTAAATATCTTTTGTTCAAACATGGATATCAGCAATGACACCTACCTTATTTATGTCAAATCCTTCAATTAAATTTGCCACACACACACACACACACAGACACAGACACAGACACACAGAAGAATTTGGTATAAGAAGATTATGGGCATTCCAAATATTTTAGTGTATTTCTTTCCACAGTTAAATTTGTACTGTAAAATTTACCTGATCTGGACATTTGTTGATCTTTCCCTGCTACTGCTTCATTAGTAACAGAATCTTTCACTTCAGTGGTAGACTGGAAGGGTATCGAAACAATATGATTAAGACAATGTATATTTCATACAATCTGTAGTTAGAAATTCAAAATAAAAATACATAAGCTTTACCTTCCAATGAAGATCTTTTCCAGGAGAATCTAAAATGCAAAAGGGACATGTAGTTAATTATACATAAATATGAAAGGCAACTATACATTCCTGCAGTTAATATTAAGGTGAATGAATCCACATGCTTGGCTTTGAAAGTGATTACATTTGGTTTTGATCTTTTGTTTCTAGAGATAGGAAAGTGGGTTAACACAGCACAAGAAAGAAATAAGAACCCATTATAAATATTGGAAAAAACAGAAATATATGTTCAACATAACATGCAGTTAGGATTTCAAAAGTAAGATGATGTTTCAAATGAAATCACTAAATGTTGCACATATACCAACGTAAACATGCTGATTGATGGGGGAGAAAAGCAATCTTTAATCAGAGGAACAAATGATGACTGAGAGGATAAACGTGAAAGCTGATGGTAGAATGCAACAGTACATCCTGATTGCAGTACAGCAGAATCATTGATACCATTCTACTACAAGTATTTGCCATGTTCTTCAATTTGTCCCATAATTTAAGCAGTACACAGTTATGATGACAGTTCAATTGAATGCATAATTTATTTTTCATTGGAGAAAGTGTTATGAATTGATCAGCCTGGATATACTTGTAGGATAATAGTTAATAAAAGTATTCATTTTTGTCTATACCCATGTGGGCCACTGGTATGCCTATATTTCTTGTACCCTCTAATTTAGCCATCTTAAAGTTTCTTGACCCATGCATGCAAGAAGGTATATAAAACACATTAAGAAATAATGTATAATAAGCTTTCAGTATGGAACTATGACTACCAAAATGAAAAAAATCAATTTAATTGCCACCGAATTTTTAGATACTAAAAATCTTCTGTATTTCAAAATCAGTGTCATATTTACTGATAGTAACAATTTTAGCATTTAATGAATGGACTCTATCATTTCTTGTGTTTCCAAAATCAGTTTGATTTGGTAGACCATGTCAGTCTTGAAGAGGTTTGTTTGAAACAGCTGTCACCCCCCAAAATTAGCTATCTTAAAAAAACACCCATGCTTCCATATTCAAATTAATCTCACTTGAATAATGATTATCAATGTAACATATATCTTTGAGATCCAGTAGATTGGAGAAAGATGAATGGTGGCTATGTTTATCCCAAGTCTAGCACTATATTTACTCTCAGTATTCTTTGTCGAGCAGCTGTGATCTAACCTGTTTCAGTACAAATAAACTCAAGCTATCTAAAATGAATGCTCTAGAGTTTCCTCACCAACTTCAAAACTCCCTAACTAACATAACTTTCTTTTTTCCTCTCTTTCCCTTCACTATCCCGTCTTCAAAAGTAATTTCTGGGGGCACCTGTGTGGCCCAGTCAGTTGGGTGTCCAGCTCTTGATTTCAGCTCAGGTCATGATCTCAGGGTTCTGGGATTTAGTCCCTTGGTAGGCTCCTCACTCAGCAAGGATTCTCTCTCTCTCTCTCTCCCGATCTCCCTTTGCCCCCTCCCTGCTCGTTGACTCTCTCTCTCTAATATAAATAAATAAATCTTTTTAAAAGGTAATTTCTGGTCTATGGTCTTGATTCTTTTTGCTTTTACTATCTTTTTATGGATATTCTCCACCACTTCTTTCCTCTGTTTAGCAATAATACCTTACATTTATACCTTCTATTTCTGTATCTCCATGTTGAGAAATAAAAAGAAAATAATGCTTTTCCTTGATCCTGTTATGTCTTGAAATATCCAAGAGCCTTTCCAGATTTCTCTACAGGGAAGTCTACATCCATGCTACTGAGCACATGACCCAAGGACCACCGACACTGGCATCATCTGAGAGGTCAAAACACAGAATTCCAGACCTGCTGTTCATGGTGTGCATTTTTAACAAGGTCTCAGGTGATTCACTACAATTTGCAAAATTCTGGTCCATACTGAATCTGCTGCTGCATTCCTTTACCTTAACCTTCAAAGATCAAGCCTCAAGTTCGTCACTAACAATTCTCCAAAACTGAAAATGTATTAAAAGTCACAAATGTTCTAATGGACTTTTTATCAGGGCTAAAGCTTCCTTGATCTCCCCCCTAATTGACCCTGCTTTTTCCTTCCAATTCTCTTTTTTTGCACTAAATGATACTACTAAGTTATGAAGTACCACCATTTTATATGACATTAAGGTACAGATAATTATTTATTTGAAAGGTGTATTCATTTATTTGACACAGAGAGAGAGCATGCACAAGCAGGAAGAGCAGCAGACAAAGGGAGAGGGAAAAGCAGGCTCCCAGCTCAGCACGGCTCCATCCCAGGTCCCGGGGATCATGGCCCAAGCCAAAAGCAGACCTTCAACTGACTAAGCCACCCAGGCACCCCTAACATATATACATTTATGGTTGACTAGGGCATAGCTCTGCATAATCAGCTAAGTCAATCCTTAATGTCTTCCCAACAGTGAGAAAAACTGTTAAGAGTGGGAAAATTTTGGTATACTACTCTGACAAGTTTGGTACTGGAAACTCACTTGATATTATCCCCACATTTCAAATAGTTTGCTCCTCCTTTTAAAAGAATTCTTTTATTTTACCACCTTCCATTATAAAGTGTTACTTATTTTCGTCCATTTACTCCCTGTACACTCAGCCTTTCTCATCATTCCCTCTTTGCTCTTTTCCCACTATTTCCAGACATTCCTTAGGTCTTAGAATACCTGGAAATGGAACCAGTAATTTAGCTCCTTTAGTGGTACTCTCAATTTAATCTGTAGCTGACACCTGATAAAATATAGAACTTACCTCCTTTTCACATCTTTCTCCTTTCTACGCATTTAATAGGTGATTTTCTTTGGATATTAGGATACATCAGAATTTCTATTTTGAATCAACATTCTATCAAATGACTTTTTATAAAATACAATTCTTACCTTCTACTTGTTCATTTAATATACTTTGCCCTTGTTGATCTGCACCTCCAGGTAAACAATCAACAGATTTCTTTGGAAGACTTGCAGAAATACTCTGTTAAAATTAACATCAATAATGAGTTGAATAAAAATTTTCTAGTCCTTTTCTAAGAAAATATTTGAATGCTCTGCTTTAATAGCAATCAGACTTTCAAATAGGAAAACCATGTATTGAAAACCAACACATTTAAAAACCTCATCTATGCTCTCTAGATTAAGTGTGCCTTTTAATTTTCATTTGGCCATTAACTCTAAAATGAACATGGAAGGCCAGAGTAAATACTTTCACAGACAAGAAGACTGACTTATACGTACATTTCAACAAGGAAATAACAAAACACCTAACTCTACTTTGCATTCTCCACCAGAACAAAAGGACAGTAAAACTATGTATTGAAACAAATTCTTTAATAAGTATATTTGCTATAAATCTAAACTGTTCCTAATGGCAGAAAGTTTTTTAGTGTTAAAATAAGATACTTGGCATGATAATAAACCTTGGAGTACACCATGTTGAGTAGAAATAGAACACTGTGGTAGCTGCTGCTTCATTTAGATAAACAAAGGATTGGAATTTTTAATGGTAGGAAAAATGGTTGAATGAAATGGCAAAGTAGGAAGAAAAACTTTTCTTGAAATTATGTTTAAATAATAGCAAAAAATTTTAGATATAGGTATGAAATGTTTCAAAAAGTATAGTAAGCTTTCCGAAGGGAAGAATAAGAACATTTATTGAGGCCAAACCTGTTGGGACCCCTCTCACTCCTAAGAGCTTTCTCTATATCTTTACTTAATAAACTTCTTTCATTTTACTCACACACACAAAAAGAACATTTATTGATTAATCACCTAAAAGGTACCAGGCATTTGTTTTAATATGCACATTTTCTTTTCTACACTCAAAAATATCAATGGTTATAACAACGGGGTAGGTCTTCCTGCTTCCTGGTTATTCTAAGACATTAGAGTGAAATGATGAACAGATGTGCTCCATGGTTCTCTCTGTCCAGAATGTCCTTCTCCAAGACATTCTTGCGACTGGTCCTTCCCATCCTTCACTTGGCAGCTCTGGCCACACTCAGAGAGATCTTTTCTGATTACCAAAATTCCACTCCCATTCTCATCCCCATCCTAAATACAAACGCCTCCAAAATTCCCTAAACTAACGTTTCCATTTTTTTATATGAAACACTGATAGTGACTTAAAATGGATCATTGTTTCCTAATTTTTCTGCTCCTACCACTACACCCTGTACAGCCTGGTCATAGTTAGTATTCAGTAACAGAAATGTATTTGTGAAACAGTGAAAATCATATCACTGAGGGGGTGCCAAGGTGGCCAGTCAGTTGAGCATCCAAATCTTGATTTCAACTCAGGTCATGGTCTCAGGGTCGTGAGATCAAATCCCACACTGGGGCTCTGTGTTGAGCTTGAAGCCAACATAGGATTCTCTCTCTCCCTCTCCCTCTGCTCCCCCCCGCCTGCTCACACATGTGCTCTCTCTCTCTCTAAAAAATAATCATCATCCTCATCTCACTGAGAAGGTCTAAGTACCAAATCACTGTGCTTGAAGAATGCAAGGGCTGAGGGTGTTGAAGGCCACACAGTCAAATATTCACAAATGACTTGATTCCCCAAAAACTTAACTACTCATCTCCTATTGAATTTCCTACTTTAAGAGCAATTAGACTTAAAAATAGGAAACGTATATATGAAAAACCAAAACATTTAAATAAAAGACTCATATATATGTTCTCTAGACCTAAGTTACTTTTTTTTTTCTAAGTTACTTTTTAACCCTCATTTGGCCACTGACTGTAAACTGAGCATGAAAGTCAAGTAAATTATAAATTAATGTTGACCTTACCAATAACGTGAAGTCAATGAACAAACTTTGTATATGATATGTATTATATAATGTATTCTTAAATATAAACTAAAGAACAGGTTATTAAGAAAATCATAAGGAAGGGAAGCTACATTAAGAAAATACTGTATCGAAAAGCATCTGTAAGCGGACAGTTGAAGCCCATCTTGCTCAAGGGCCAACTCAATGTCTCTAATCACAGGCTACTGAAACTTAACATACCCCAAATTAGAAATCCACCTGTCCACTCTAACTTTCCCATTCTTTTCTTAACACTTGCCATTTTACTGTCCTCAGAAATCTTCACATTTATAAAACATGCCCTCTATATTTAGTAAGTCACTAAAATACTGCTGTGATCACTTTTGCCTTATATTTCTAGAGCATTCTTTACAGCTTACAAAGTGCTTTCACCTTTGTTACATTTGGTCATGACACATACCTGAGAGGTAGGTATTAGTACCATTTTTATGAATGAGGTCACTGACATTCAAACAGGTTAAACAAGTTTTTCTGAGATCCCACAGCTAATAAGTAACAGAACCAAGATGGTAGCACATCTTTTGACTTCAAATACAGTGCTCATGCCACTGTAGAGCCGCTGCCTCTACTAAGACATAGATAGGCCCTTTTTACCTTCTTCCATAGTTGTCACCTTAGAATAGGTCATCATTACTTTACAGTTATGTTACTCTAAGTAGGGCTGCCACAAAGATATGAAATGCATGCTATTTTAACTATCCAAAATGTTTTTACCTTTTAAAATACCACTAAACCGGGGGGCTTGATGGCTGAGTCAGTTCTAGGATCAAGCCCCAAGTCATCAGCCTCCCTGCTCAGTGGGGAGCCTGCTTCTCCCTTTCCCTTTACCCCTTTTCCCACTCATGCTCACCCTCTCTCTCTCTCTCTCTCTCTCAAATAAATAAATAAATAAAATCTTTACAAAAATAAATGAATAAAGCACCACTAAACCACATTGTTATTATACTCCCAATGCTCCTTGTAGATCTACCTGACAATCCAAATATAATACTTTTAGGGTGCCTGGATGGCTTAGTTGGTTGAGCATCCAACCCTTGGTATCAGCTCAGGTCATGATCTCATGGTCATGGAATCAAGCCCTGTGATGGGCTCTGCACTCAGAGTGGTGTCTGCTTCAGATTCTGTCTCCTTCTCCCTCCCACTTGCTCACTCTCTCTCAATAAATAAATAAATACACAAAATCTTTAAATAAATCTTTAAATATATATTTAATAGATAAAATGTGATATAATATATATTACACATAATACACAAACTATATATAAGTATATACGCCTTATATAAAAGGATATAGAAATTATATAAAATATAAATGTATATTAATATAATAAATTTAATATATAAACATACTGTATATTATATATATTTTTATATATTTATATAAAACTATAATCCAAACTCTATCTAGATCTCATTAGAAGTTTTGCACATCCATATACACCACAGAATCATACATTTCACCATAGGTTGACCTAGAGTAATTCTTTAGCTTTTTAGATAACTTCAAAACCCAAACTTGGGATGCTTGGGTGGCTCAGCGATTGAGCATTTCCCTTCAGTTTGGGGTGTGATCCCAGAGTCCCCGGATTGGGTTCTCCATGGGGCTCCCTGTGGGGACTGCTTCTCCCTCTGCCTGTGTCTCTGCCTCTCTCTGTGTGTGTCTCTCATGAGTAACTGGATGGAATATTTTTAAAAAGGATTCCTTAACACATTTTTAAAAAAGATTTTATTTATTCATGAGAGACACAGAGAGAGGCAGAGACACAGGCGGAGGGAGAAGCAGGCTCCCCACAGAGACCCTGATGTGGGACTCAATCCCTGGACTCCAGGACCATGCCCAGAGCAGAAGGCAGATGCTCAACCACTGAGCCACCCAGGCATCCCGATTCCTTAACACTTCTAAGCTCAGTTTTCTGCAATACTACTACACACCTTTCACTAGGTTAAGCTTGCAAATTAGCAGAACTGTATTATTATATTTAGCACATAATTATCAAATACAGGTAAAAAGTATAAGGAATTAGTTTTTATCGGCAAATGCAGACATGAGAGTGTAAAGTCTAAGCATTGGTTTTATAACATCACTCAATGCTTATATTTTAAAATAATAAGAAGACAGTACCTCAGAATCCCAAGGTGAACTATCTTCTCCTTGCTCTAAAGCTGACATCCTATCTGTAAAATATAGTCACAAATACATTAATGAGAACATGTATTACTATGAATTCTAAACACATATACAAGCCTATTCCCATTCACAAATATTTTAATAAAATAAAAGTATTAGGAGATAAGATTTTTCAGAGGGTGGAAGCATTTTCAGGAAGAAAAAGTTGGTAGTAGTTGGGATACTTAGAAAGAAAGATAACAAAAGAAAATTAACTTAATGAAATGAAATGGATAACATATTTGGATCTACATACTTTCATATTGTTTTATACTAGCATGTAAGCATAGAAAAAAACTCATAGATTTTCACTGACTTACCACTTGTATTATTTTTGTGTGCTCTATCAGCAGAAGTCAAATTGTCATTAACTGTTTGCTTTTGTGGAGCACTTTCAATAATATCAATACCATTGTCCTTTTTTTCAATCGCTGGCTTCGTTGCTCCTTCCTATATGAACACCACCAAAAACAAAACAAAAAAACAAAAACAAAAAAAACCACTCCAACTTCAGAAAACATTACATTAATTCACTTACTCACTCACTCCTCAGAAAGACAAATACATACCATATCTGTCAAGTCACAGGCACTATCATGGAGTCTGCCCTATAGGCTAGTAGGGGTACAGATGGATGAAAACAAGTAAGAACAGATGAGGATCATTCACTAGTTCTACAACTGAAGTGAATAAAGTACAGTGAAGGCACAAGGAGAAAAAAATGCATATGGGAAGTCAAGAAATGCTGCGAAGATAAGGCTGTATCTTGAAAGACAAAGTATACAAGGAGTGTGTGAAGGGCATTCTAGCAAAGGTAGAATGATCTAAAGGAGAAGCAGGAAATAACATAGTAAGTGACAATAGCTCAGAATGTGGCAAAACTAGGACACAATTATTGGGAATGGGGTAAAGAGATAAAATTGGAAAATCAGGATTGAACCAAAAAAGACAGGGGTTATGTTAGGATATGAACTTTCTCCTCCAGGTAATGGGGAATCCATTAAATAAGCAGAGGAGTTACATCATCACAAATATATTTTAGAACTATAACTCCAGTACCAATGTAAAGATGAACATAAAGGAACCAAAAGAGAAGAGTATTTCAAAATTATAGATGAGAACGTGAATTACAGTAATAAGATGTGAAAAATTATAAGCAGGTACAAGATACTGAATGTGGTGGAGTGACTGGATGTGGTGATTTTTTAAAAAGATTTATTCATTTATTTATTTTTTGAGAGAAAGAGAGTGTGTGTGTCCATGCAGGGGGAGAGGAAGAGGAAGAGAGAGAATCCTCTTCCCACTCAGCCTCCCCACTCAGTACAGAGCCCAACGCAGGACTCAATGCCAGGATCCTGAGATCATGACCTGAGCCACCATTAAGAGTCAGATGCTTAACCAAGTGAGCCACCCCAGTCACCTGGATGTGATGTCACCTAATTTTAGGGAAGTCTGGAGTGCAGGATTTTTTTCTGCTTCAGTGTTCCAATGGTGCTATATACTAGGATGGCGAAAACAAAGGAGAAGCAGATTACAAAGTCAGGAAAAGGAAAGGGTCAGAAATAATATCTTCAGTCTGGGACTTCACCAAATTTGAAGCACCCAGGGGACTTAAGAAGTAAGTTTTAGATAAATACATTTGGAGTAGGAAAAAAATGACAATACTAAGGAAAACCACATTATGTTAAAAAGATAGTTATCTATAAAATATACTAACCTGATATAATTAATGTCAACCTACACAAAACTCTGAAATTTTTAAAATAAAAATAAAGGAACGGGGAAAAACCATGGGATTCAATATTTCGATTATATACTTCAACATTACTTTCTAGGAGAGAAAATACACTTTCATTAATATAGTCAAGTAATGAGCACCTGGATGGCTCAGTTAGCTAAGTATCCAACTCTTGATTTCAGCTCAGGTTATGATGTCAGGGTTGTGACACTGAGCTTTACATCAGGCTCCACGCTCAGAAGGATGTCTGCTTGTCTCCTTCTCTCTGCCCTTCCCCCCTTTCTTAAATAAATAAATCTTTAGAAAAATACATATATATGTATATATACTTGTTCATAGTCATTACTGTAACGAATACCATTTTTTTAAATAATAAATTTATTTTTTATTGGTGTTCAATTTGCCAACATACAGAATAACACCCAGTGCTCAACCCATCAAGTGCTCCCCTCAGTGCCTGTCACCCATTCATCCCCACCTCCCGCCCTCCTCCCCTTCCACCACCCCTAGTTTGTTTCCCAGATTTAGGAGTGTTTATGTTCTGTCTCCCTTTCTGATATTTCTCACACATTTCTTCTCCCTTCCCTTCTATTCCCTTTCACTATTATTTATATTCCCCAAATGAATGAGAACATATAAGGCTTGTCCTTCTCTGATTGACTCATTTCACTCAGCATAATACCCTCCAGTTCCATCAACCTGGAAGCAAATGGTGGGTATTTGTCGTTTCTAATGGCTGAGTAATATTCCATTGGATACATAAACCACATCTTCTTTATCCATTCATCTTTCGATGGACACCGAGGCTCCTTCCACAGTTTGGCTATTGTGGACATGGCTGCTAGAAACATCGGGGTGCAGGTGTCCCGGCGTTTCATTGCAATCTGTATCTTTGGGGTAAATCCCCAGCAGTGCAATTGCTGGGTCGTAGGGCAGGTCTATTTTTAATTCTTTGAGGAACCTCCACATAGCTTTCCAGAGTGGCTGCACCAGTTCACATTCCCACCAACAGTGTAAGAGGCTTCCCTTTTCTCCGCATCCTCTCCAACATTTGTGGTTTCCTGCCTTGTTAATTTTCCCTATTCTCACTGGTGTGAGGTGGTATCTCATTGTGGTTTTGATTTGTATTTCCCTGATGGCAAGTGATGCAGAGCATTTTCTCATGTGCTTATTGGCCATGTCTGTGTCTTCCTCTGTGAGATTTCTGTTCTGTCTTTTGCCCATTTCAGGACTGGATTGTTCTTTCTTTGGTGTTGAGTTTAAGAACTTCTTTATAAATCTTGGAAACTAGCCCTTTATTTGATACGTCATTTGCAGATATCTTCTCCCATTCTGTAGGTTGTCTTTTAGTTTTGTTGTTGTATCCTTTGCTGTGCAAAAGCTTCTTATCTTGATGAAGTCCCAATAGTTCATTTTTGCTTTTGTTTCTTTTGCCTTCGTGGATGTACCTTGCAAGAAGTTACTGTGGACAAGTTCAATAAGGGTGTTGCCTGTGTTCTCCTCTAGGATTTTGATGGAATCTTGTCTCACATTTAGATCTTTCATCCATTTTGAGTTTATCTTTGTGTATGGTAAAAGAGAGTGGTCTAGTTTCATTCTTCTGCATGTGGATGTCCAATTTTCCCAGCACCATTTATTGAAGAGACTGTCTTTCTTCCAGTGGATCGTCTTTCCTCCTTTATCGAATATTAGTTGACCATAAAGTTCAGGGTCCACTTCTGGGTTCTCTATTTTGTTGCATTGATCTATGTGTCTGTTTTTGTGCCAGTACCACACTGTCTTGATGACCACAGCTTTGTAGTACCACCTGAAATCTGGCATTGTGATGCCTCCAGCTATGGTTTTCTTTTTTAAAATTCCCCTGGCTATTCAGGGTCTTTTCTGATTCCACACAAATCTTAAAATAATTTGTTCTAACTCTCTGAAGAAAGTCCATGGTATTTTGATAGGGATTGCATTAAACGTGTAAATTGCCCTGGGTAACATTGACATTTTCACAATATTAATTCTGCCAATCCATGAGCATAGAATATTTTTCCATCTCTTTGTGTCTTCCTCAATTTCTTTCAGAAGTGTTCTATAGTTTTTAGGGTATAGATCCTTTACCTCTTTGGTTAGGTTTATTCCTAGGTATCTTATGCTTTTGGGTGCAATTGTAAATGGGATTGACTCCTTCATTTCTCTTTCTTCAGTCTCATTGTTAGTGTATAGAAATGCCACTGGGAGGAGGGGCAAGACGGCGGAAGAGTGGGGTCCCCAAGTCACCTGTCCCCACCAAATTACCTAGATAACCTTCAAATCATCCTGAAAATCTACGGATTCGGCCTGAGATGTAAAGAGAGACCAGCTGGAACGCTACAGTGAGAAGAGTTCGCGCTTCTATCAAGGTAGGAAGACGGGGAAAAAGAAATAAAGACACAAAAGGCCTCCGAGGGGGAGGGGCCCCGCGAGGAGCCGGGCTGAGGCCGGGGCGAGTGTCCCCAGGACAGGAGAGCCCCGTCCCGGAGGAGCAGGAGCTGCACCAACCTTCCCGGGCGGAAAGGGGCCCGCAGGGAGTTAGAGCAGGACCCAGGGGGGCGGGGATGCCCTTGGGCTCCCTGGGACACGAACAGACACCTGCGCCCCGGGAGAGTGCCCCGAGCTCAACTAAGGGCTGCAGCGCGCACAGCGGGGCCGGATCAGCTCGGAGGGGCTCGGGCGGCGGCTCCGCGGAGGGGGCTGCGGGGCGGGAGCGCGAATCCAACAGCGCAGGCCCCGGAGCACAGGGCGCCGGGACACAGCCCAGGATCCGGCCTCCCCCGGGACAGGCAGAGGCCGGGAGGGCCCAGGACAGCGAGGACGCTCCTGCCCGAGCTGAGCAGATCAGCGGCCCCGCCCCGGAGCCTCCAGGCCCTGCAGACGGAGAACCGAGAGCCCCGAGCCCCGTAGTTCCTGCGGAGGCTGAATCCAGGCTTCCAGAGTTGCCATAGCAACTGCGGCTGTTCCTCCTGGGGCCCCACGGGGTAAACAACCCCCGCTGAGCCCTGCAGCACGCAGGGGCGGAGCAGCTCCCCAAGTGCTAACACCTGAAAATCAGCACAGCAGGCCCCTCCCCCAGAAGACCAGCTAGACGGACCAGTGATACTCCACCGTGTTCCAATACAACTTGTTTTTGGCCACTCTGCACAGAGCAAAATGACTAGAAGGAAAACCTCACCTCAAAAGAAAGAATCAGAAACAGCCCTCTCTCCCACAGAGTTACAAAATCTGGATTACAATTCAATGTCAGAAAGCCAATTCAGAAGCACTATTATACAGCTACTGGTGGCTCTAGAAAAAAGCATTAAGGCCTCACGAGACTTCATGACTGCAGAATTTAGATCCAATCAGGCAGAAATTAAAAATCAATTGAATGAGATGCAATCCAAACTAGAAGTCCTAAAGACGAGGGTTAACGAGGTGGAAGAACGAGGGAGTGACATAGAAGACAAGTTAATGGCAAAGAGGGAAACTGAGGAAAAAAGAGACAAACAATTAAAGTACCATGAAGATAGATTAAGGGAAATAAACGACAGCCTGAGGAAGAAAAACCTACGTTTAATTGGGGTTCCCGAGGGCGCCGAATGGGACAGAGGGCCAGAATATGTATTTGAACAAATCCTAGCTGAAAACTTTCCCAATCTGGGAAGGGAAACAGGCATTCAGATCCAGGAAATAGAGAGATCCCCTCCTAAAATCAATAAAAACCGTTCAACACCTCAACATCTAATAGTGAAGCTTGCAAATTCCAAAGATAAAGAGAAGATCCTTAAAGCAGCAAGAGACAAGAAGTCCCTGACTTTCATGGGGAGGAATATTAGGGTAACAGCAGACCTCTCCACAGAGACCTGGCAGGCCAGAAAGGGCTGGCAGGATATATTCAGGGTCCTAAATGAGAAGAACATGCAACCAAGAATACTTTATCCAGCAAGGCTCTCATTCAAAATGGAAGGAGAGATAAAGAGCTTCCAAGACAGGCAGGAACTGAAAGAATATGTGACCTCCAAACCAGCTTTGCAAGAAATTTTAAGGGGGACTCTTAAAATTCCCCTTTAAGAAGAAGTTCAGTGGAACAATCCACAAAAACAAGGACTAAATAGATACCATGATGACACTAAACTCCTATCTGTCAATAGTAACTCTGAACGTGAATGGGCTTAATGACCCCATCAAAAGGCGCAGGGTTTCAGACTGGATAAAAAAGCAGGACCCATCTATTTGCTGTCTACAAGAGACTCATTTTAGACAGAAGGACACCTACAACCTGAAAATAAAAGGTTGGAGAACCATTTACCATTCAAATGGTTCTCAAAATATACCCTAAAAACTATAGAACACTTCTGAAAGAAATTGAGGAAGACACAAAGAGATGGAAAAATATTCCATGCTCATGGATTGGCAGAATTAATATTGTGAAAATGTCAATGTTACCCAGGGCAATTTACATGTATAATGCAATCCCTATCAAAATACTTTCTTCAGAGACTTAGAACAAATTATTTTAAGATTTGTGTGGAATCAGAAAAGACCCCGAACAGCCAGGGGAATTTTAAAAAAGAAAACCATAGCTGGGGGCATCACAATGCCAGATTTCAGGTTGTACTACAAAGCTGTGGTCATCAAGACAGTGTGGTACTGGCACAAAAACAGACACATAGATCAATGGAACAGAATAGAGAACCCAGAAGTGGACCCTGAACTTTATGGTCAACTAATATTCGATAAAGGAGGAAAGACGATCCACTGGAAGAAAGACAGTCTCTTCAATAAATGGTGCTGGGAAAATTGGACATCCACATGCAGAAGAATGAAACTGGACCACTCTCTTGCACCATACACAAAGATAAACTCAAAATGGATGTAAGATCTAAATGTGAGACAAGATTCCATCAAAATCCTAGAGGAGAACTCAGGCAACACCCTTTTTGAACTTGGCCACAGTAACCGGAGAAGGACAAACAGTGTATGTTCTCATTCATTTGGGGAATATGAATAATAGTGAAAGGGAATATAAGGGAAGGGAGAAGAAATGTGCGAGAAATATCAGAAAGGGAGACAGAACATAAAGACTTCTAACTCTGGGAAATGAACTAGGGGTGGTGGAGGGGGAGGAGGGCGGGGGGTGGGGGTGAATGGGTGACGGTCACTGAGGGGGACACTTGACGGGATGAGCACTGGGTGTTATTCTGTATGTGGGTAAATTGAACACCAATAAAAATTAATTTATAAAATTAAAAAAAAAAGACAAAAAAAAAAAAAAAAGAAATGCCACTGGTTTCTGGGCATTGATTTTGTATCCTGCCACGCTACCAAATTGCTGTATGAGTTCTAGCAATCTTGGGGTGGAGGCTTTTGGGTTTTCTATGTAGAGTATCATGTCATCGTTAAAGAGGGAGAGTTTGAATACTTCTTTGCCAATTTGAATGCCTTTAATGTCTTTTTGTTGTCTGATTGCTGAGGCTAGGACTTCCAGTACTACGAATACCATTTTTAAGATTAGTAGAAAGATTTAATTGCAAAACACCAATTCAAGATTTGGTAATTCTTGAAAATATTCCTTTTTTAAAAAAATGAATCTTAAAAGCTAAGATTTAAATTGTAGAAGAGAAATATTTATGGGATTACAGAATTTTAAGGCACTGTATGAGAAAAATATAAAACCCCATTTTAAAATTCATGTGGTTTTCTTATTCCACTGTGAACAGCATACTAATAGGTTTAATTTCCTAACTACAAATAGGATGGTAGTTAAAGGCTGGAGAAAGAATCTAGTATTAAAATATTTATAATCATGATTATTAATCATCCAAATTAAAGGTTTAAAGTCTCCAAATTCATGTATAATTATCAAGCATGACCCAATATTCTATATTCACAGGAGAGAAGAAAGGGCCTAAAACAATCAAATCACCAGTATTTCTGAGTTTCAGATATCAAAGAATTCACAGGTTAAATTTAACAACTATAGGGGCACCTGGCTGGCTCACTCACAAGAGTGTGTGACTCTTAATCTCAGCGTTCTGAGTTTAAGCCCAGCATTGGGCATAGAGATTACATAAAAATTTTTTTTAGATATACCTGGGTGGCTCAGCCATTGAGCGTCTGCCTTTGGCCCAGGGCGTGATCCCGGAATCCGGGATTGAGTCCCATGTTGGGCTCCTGCGAGGAGCCTGCTTCTCCTTCAGCCTGTGTCTCTGCCCCTCTCTCTTTCTGCGTCTCTAGTAAATAAATAAAACATCTTAAAAAAAATTTTTTTTAATCTAAAAAATATAAAACGTAACAACTAGGAATACTAAAGTTTCCTGAGATAACATAAAATGTATCCACTGTTGGAGATATTTGAAAAAGTAAAGATCATCCTAGTAGAAATAATTTTGTATAATCTATGGGCAATCTTTCCTTCCTTATGATTCTATAAAGACAAATAGTTCATCTTAGGAAAAAAACGATAAAATGTGAGTTTATTCATTTGATGTGTGTGTCTATTCTAAGCAGATACTATTTTAAAAAGATGCATCAGAATCCAGAAAAAAGTTTTTATATTTTTTAAGAATCTTGAAGCTTAAAATTTATTTTTTTTCATTTAATGGATAGAGATTAAGAACCTAACTTACCTAAGAAAAAATTTCAGTTTTAATTAATAAAAAGACTAAATAAAATGTTTATTTATGTCCTCTCTTTATTCTCAAAAGATCTAAAATCAGCCAAGATTATACCACACAGTAAGTTTAATTAGAAACCACAAGACAGACACTCGCCAAAACTCAAAATTCATAATAAATCTGATTACATCCTAAAACAGATTTCACTTTGCATTATCTATAAACTCAAGTTTTGCTAAATTAAATACAGGCTATCATACTTTATTAAACTTAAAAGGATAAAATTTCCTTCCAGTTCTTCATAAAAACCAGCTGTCATTCAGAAGAGTCTGAGCATTTTTTATCTGACTTTCTTTTCTTAATTTGCATTTAAAATAGTTTCTATCATATTTTATAATATACAGTATCTGTTCTCCCTTAGCCTCACTACTGCTGTTTTTTTTTATAATAATCTCTCTAAACTCTTCTATCTTTACATTCATCTCGTCCTTCTTAAATGAATTCTTCCCCCACACTCCCTCCCTCATCTTTACATCCATCTAGCTATTCTTCCCAGTTGCTTTCTAATTCTTTCTTTCCATAATGGCATACCTAAGATTTGTTTATTCCCACCAACTGTTATAAATCTCAACCCAGTACTTACTTCTCTGTTGTTATTACACTGTTTTCTCTTATATTCTTGAGGGCTTCCATTTCTCCCTAAGATTCTTTTCATTATAAGGATATCAAGAGGATCGTATGTGAAAAAACATGGGGGAAAAATTCAAAACAACTTACCTTTGTAACACCAAGCATTGCTAAAGACGTTTGAGGAGTTCCAGGTGATTCAAAAGCAAGAGGAGAATAGTCAGAGACATTGACTGATGGTTTCCAAAGAGTTTCAGTCTTATCTTCACTTGCAAAATTGTTCTCAGCAAATAAAGGTCTATCTTCTAGGCTCACAATGCCACATTTTGCTCCTATTTAGTGAAAAACAAAGTAAAGAGTAGATGAAGATATCTGTAACTTCGAATTACTAAATAACACAAAAATGGACAAAACTCAGTGAATAACACAAATCTTCAAATAGCTTACTCTTGGCTCGCAGAAAAGCAGCCATTAGCTCTCTTAAGTTTGGTTTCGGGACAGTCTAGAAAAAAATTGATAGTTTTCAGGATTACAAGTATCACATTTCATAAAAATAACTGTAATATTCACCATTACCAAATGAACACCATTACAAAAAGAACACAGGTTTTGGAGATCATTCAAATACAGATTCAAATCTCCGTTGTGCCATTTACTAACCTACATTTTCTCATGGGGTGAAGATTATAAGAGATTTAATAGTCCCAAAATGTTACTTTTCTTACCCCTGATTATTATACAAAATCTTCCTCAAAAAGTTAAAAATAGAGCCATCCTATGACCCAGCAATTGCAGTACTCAGTATTTATCCAAAGGATACAAACATAGTGATTTGAAATGACACCAGCACCCCAACATTTAAAGCAGCAATGACCACAATAGCCAAACTACGAAAAAAGCCCAGATGCCCATTGACAGATGAATGGATAAAGAAGATACGGTGTGTATAAATACAATGGAATATTACTCAGCCATCAAAAAGAATGAAATCTTGCCATTTGCAACAACATGGATGGGACTAAAGAGTATTATACGAAGTGAAATAAGTTAGTTAGAGAAAGACAAATACCATATGATTTCAATCCTATGTGGAATTTAAGAAACAAAACAGAGGTGCATAGGGGAAGGGAGGAAAAATAAGATAAAAATCAGAGAGAGAGACAAACCATAAGAGACTCTTAATCATAAGAAATAAACTGAGGGTTGTTGGAGGGGAGAGGGTTGGAGCAATGGGGTAATTAAGTGATGGGCATTAAGCAGGGCACTTGAAATAGTAAGCACTGGGTGTTGTATGCAACTGATGGATCACTGAATTCTACCTCTGAAACTAATAATACACCATTTATTAATTAAATTGAATTTAAAATTTTTAAAAATACTTTATTTACAAAAATAACCTAAAATAAAAATTTATCCCTAGGTAATTGAAATTCAAAAAACTAACATCAAGGAATGTCATTATTGGGATGCCTGTATGGCTCAGTGGTTGAACATCTGCCTTCGGCTCAGGGTGTGATCCCAGAGTCCCACATCAGGCTCCCTGCATGGAGCTTGCTTCTCCTCCCTCTGCCTCTGTCTCTGCCTCTTTCTGTCTCTCTCATGAATAGATAAACAAAATCTTTTCTAAAAAATTAATTATTTTATTATATTTTAAAAGTGCATGATTTATAGCTGCATGACTATCTCTTATAAGAGAAAATATTAACATTAGTTTTATTTTATTTAGGCAAGTTGGAATTACAAACAGTTTAAGTTGCTTTTGTTTGTCAAAATGCTAAGGGAAAATGATTGTTTAAAGTCAGCTCCTTCAGGAAAGAGAAAAAAAAAATAATAAGCCTTGTGGGGTAATGATTCAGGAATGAAAACCACAGACACACACAGACAAGAGAAAGCCATAACCAAAAATATTGACAATGGACATAGAAAGAGATGGACTGAAAGAACAGAGACTAAAGAAATGGTATTTTTTTTCTGTAAGGAAAAATTAGGGTAGGGGAAAATCATTAAAAAAAAACAAAACATGGAGGGAGAAGAAGAAAAAAGGAAAAACATAAGACACAACCATTCAATCAAGCATGAGCTTAAGGCAAGGAAAAATATAAGTAATAAAAGGCCTGTGGGGAAAAAAAAGGCTGTGGAAAAAATTGTAATTTTCAGTACACACACACACACACACACACACACACACACACACACACACATACAGATGAATGGACACACTATATAGAAATATACTATACAATATAAAGAAAAGCCTCTATATATATAACATACATATAATAGACATATTTATAACATGTAATTGAAAGAAGTTTGAGACTTTTGTTTATACTATATACTATATCCCTAATAATACTGACTTGTCTCACTCTACAGTTATTTGTTTATAAATATTGTAATAAAGAATTTAGTTTTGGGATGCCTGGATGGCTCAGTGGTTGTGCATCTGCCTTCAGCCCAGGGTGTGATCCTAGAGTTCCAGGATAGAGTCCCACATCGGGCTCCCTGCATGGAGCCTGATTCTCTCTCTGCCTATGTCTCTGCTTCTCTGTGTGTGTATCTTTCACAAATAAAAAATAAAATCTTAAAAAAAAAAAAAAACCTTAGTTTTTTCACTATAGAGTAAATTTTCAATTAGTGGTCATCTAGCACAACCTGGAAGCTACAAATTATCACTAGAGAGAGAAAAAAATTGAAAAAGAAATGTTTCTAACACATCAACTTTCCACATGGAAAAAGAATTGGTAATGAGAATTCTAAGAAGAAATGTATACCTTGAAAGCCTATATCTAATAGAATATAGATGGGGTTAAAAAAACAAAAAGGTAAGGAAGTTTTATCTAAAATACCAAGCTGACAATTGGAGGGTACTAAAATACATAACTTTCTTTCTTAATTATTTATTTATTTCCTCAACATAATTCATTTGAGCTTGTAAATCCTAAATGTGAAAAGGAAATATAAATTTGAGCTATAATTTTTAAATTTATATATTTATGACTTATGCATAATACTTATAACATCCTATTATGCAGAATTCCATCTGTCTGCAAACTTACTCACATTCAAAAATTATTAAATTGCTTCTTCCAAGCAAGATCTTATTCTAGGTGTTCCAGGAGATGCACAATTATGTTTCCTAATATAATCTATTACTGTAAAATGATGCAGGAGCTTTAAAATGAATATGTAAATAACTATAAAGCATCTGAAATTTTAAAATCTGACACAAGGACTATGAGTAATATTTTTAACACTGTAATATAAAAGATTTCTGAAAATGGACATTTTACATGTGGTTATAAAGAGCCTCTGCTTGTAGAGCCGATTATTATTTTAGGCAAAACTTGTACTCTTCACTTAGATAAAGAGTGTTAACAACACTCTTAATGGAATTATTTCAAAAACACAGTGGAATACTTTTGCAATATAAATAGTGAGAAACATTCTCTGAATTTCCACAATTTCTATTATTTTAGTCTAAATGTAACACAAAGGATAGAAATAGAGAAATCAGTCCTCTTTGGTAAAACTATATGCTACTAAGATAAAAAATATCTAACAAAAAAGGTGTCCAAGAAAAAAAACTACAATAATTGGATCCACTAAAGATTTCAGTTAGGCATGAGTATTATAAAAGTAATGTTAGAAATAAATAAATAAACAAACAAATAAATAAATATTAGTATAATTTAAAACTCACAACAGTAAGAATTCTGATCCTTAACCAAATGTCATTTTTCCTCCATTATGGGAAAGCTTTTCCCAATAATAGTTTGCTGTCATTATACATTTCGAGCCTATATTTTTCACCGATTTACAAAAAGAAAAAAAAAAGAAAAATTTTCACCCTGCCAGATTTCTCTAAAATGTTCTGACCAACCTTCCATTACAAACATAAAATGACAAGAGGCAAGCCACTGTTATATTTTAAGAGTAAATAATATGCAACACTAAATTCAGAGCAGCAAAATTAATTTTACAAGAGAGTACTTTACCTTGGTACCAAAACTTAAGTCTCCATCTGATGAAGGCCATGAATCATCAGTATCTGGTTTACTGGAAAGACTTTAGAGCAAAAATATAAAACAAATACAAGTTCATTTCTTTTTTTAAAAAAATCAAGTAAAAGTTCAGCTGTTTATTAAATGAAGTTTCTTGATATAATTAAAATTTTGCCTCACTTTTGTTAAGCTTTTATTTTAATTCCAGTATCCTTAACATATAGTGTTACATTAGTTTCATATATACAATATAATGATTCGGTAATTCCATATATCACCCCGTACTCATCATGACAAGTGCATTCCTTAATTCCCATCTCCTATTTCACCCATTCCCCTACCAACCTCCCCCCTGGTAACCATCAGTTTCTTCTCTATAGTAGTCTGCTTCTTGGCTTGTCTGTCGTTTTTTCTCCTTCACTCATTTTAATTTTGTTTCTTACATTTTACTTAGGAGTGAAATCATATGGTATTTGTCTTTCTCTGACTTATTTCACTTAGAATACGCTCTAGCTCCACCATGTCATTACAAATGACAAGATTTCATTCGTTTCTATGGCTGAACAATATTCCATTGTGTATATATATATACCACTTCTTCTTTATCCACTAATCTATCAACACACACACTTGGACTGTTTATTGCAAATAATGCTGTAGTAAAAACATGGGGTGCATGTATCCCTTTGAATTGGGATTGTTTGTCACATTTGGGTAAATATGCAGTAGTGCAATTACTGGATTGTAGGTTCGTTCTGTTTTTAACTTTTTGAGGAACCTCCATACGGTTTCCCACAGTGGCTGTACCAGTTTGCACTCCCACTAACAGTGCAACAGGGTTCCTTTTTTCTCCACATCCTCATCTACACTTCTTGTGTTTTTTTATTTTAGCCATTCTGACAGGTGTGCAGTGCTCTCTCATTGTAGTTTTAATTTGCATTTCCCTGATGATGTGTGATGCTGATCATCTTTTTATATGTCTGTTGGCCAACTGTACATCTTCTTTGGAAACATATAATGTCTTCTGGTCATTTATTATCTGGGTTGTGTTTTGGGTGTTGAGATGTATCAGTTCTTTATATTCTTATACAAACCCTTTATCAGATATGTCATATGCAAATTTCTTCTCCCATTCTGTATTTTGCCTTTAGTTTCGTGGATTGATTCCTTCACTCTGCAAAAGCTTTTGATTTTGATGGAGCCCCAAACTTTATTTTGCTTTTGCTTCAGGAGACATAACCCCCCCGAAAAAAATTCTTTTAGCAAAAAAAATATTGTTACAGCTAATACCAGAGAGATCATTGTCTGTGCTCTCTTCAAGGATAAAATGGTTTCATGTGGCATATTTATATCTTTAAACCATTTTGAGTTAATTTTAGTAAATGGTGAAAGAAAATGATCCTGTTTCATTCTTTTCATACACCATTCAGTTTTCCCAGCATCATTTGTTGAACACACAGCCTTTTCAAACCACTGGATATTCTTTCCTGCTTTGTCAAAGATTAACCACATAGTTATGGGCTTATTTCTGGATTTTCTATACTATTATACTGATTTTTGCATCTATTTTTATGCCAATACAATACTGTTTATATTACCACAGGTTTGTAATATAACTTGAAATATAGCATAGTGATACCTCCAGTTATATTTTTCTTTTTCCAAAATTGCTTTGGGTATTTGAGGTGTTCAGTGGTTCCATACAAATTTTAGGCTTGTTTGCCCTAGTTATGTGAAACATGCTGTTGGATTTTAATAGGCATTGCACTAAATTTGTAGATTGCTTTGGGTACTATACACATTTTAACAATAGGTGTTCTTCCAATCCGTGAGCATAGAATGTCCTTCCCATTCTTTGTGTCATCTTCAATTTCTTTCACCAAAGTTTTATAGTTTGTCAGAGTACAGGTCTCTCAAAATTTGGCTTGTTATTTTTTTAAAGATTTTATTTATTTATTTATTTATTTATTTATTTATTTATTTATTTATTTATTTATTTGACAGAGAGAGAGAAAGAGAAAGAGTGTGCAACTAGGCAGAGAGGCAGGCAGAGGGAGAAAAAGAAGCAGGGGCCCCACTGAGCAGAGAGCCCCATGATGTGGGGCTCCATCCCAGGACCCTGAGATCATGACCCAAGCCAAAGGCAGACACTTAACTGACTGAGCCAGCCAGGCGCCCTTTGGCCTCTATTTTTTTTTTTTTTTTTAGGTTTTACTTATGTATACATTAGAGACACAGAGAAAGAGACAGAGACACAGACAGAGGGAGAAGCAGACTCCATGGAGGGAGCCCAATGGGGAACTCGATCCTGGGACCCCGGGACCATGCCCTGAGCCAAAGTCAGATGCTCAACCGCTGAGCCAGCCAGGTGCCCCTTGGCCTCTGTTTTTAAAAAGGTTTTAGTTATCTATTTTGCTTTCACCTCTCCTATCCTGTGAAATATCCAGTAAAGGCCCCATATCTTAGTTCCCATAACTAAGTGTGACAGGTAAAGAATTCTCTGAAATGTTTGAAAGCTAATTATACAAAAGTTAACCACTGTGAATTATCAACTTACACCTGTCAGAATGGCTAGAATCAAAAACACAAAAAAACAAGTGTTGCTGAAGATGCAGAGAAAAAGGAACCCTCGTGCACTGGGGAGGCGGATAGAAATTGGTGCAGCCACTGTGAAAAACGGTATGGAGTTCCCTGAAGAAGTACAAATAGAAATACCACATGATCCAGTAATTCTACTACTAGGTACTTACTTACCCAAGGAAAAAGAGAACACTAACTTGAAAAGATATATGTACCCCAATGTTTATTGCAGCATTATTTACAACAGCCAAGATACGAAAGCAACCTCTGTCCATCAACAGATGTGTAACACACACACACATACACACACACACACACAGAGAGGAATATTACTAAGTGATAAAAAGAATTAAATCCTGCCATTTGCAACAATGTGGATTACCTGGCGGATAAATGAAATAAGTCAGACAGAAGTAGACAAATACTATATGATTTCACTTATATGTAGAATCAAAAAGCAGAGCAACTGAACAAACAAAAAGCAGAAACAGACCCATAAATACAGAGAATTCTGTATTTTTTTAATAAATTAATTTTTATTGGTGTTCAATTTACCAACATACAGAATAACACCCAGTGCTCATCCCGTCAAGTGTCCCCCTCAGTGCCCGTCACCCAACACCCCCACCCCCCGCCCTCCTCCCCCTCCACCACCCCTAGTTCATTTCCCAGAGTTAGAAGTCTTTATGTTCTGTGTCCCTTTCTGATATTTCTCACACATTTCTTCTCCCTTCCCTTATATTCCCTTTCACTATTATTCATATTCCCCAAATGAATGAGAACATACACTGTTTGTCCTTCTCCGATTGACTTACTTCACTTAGCATAATACCCTCCAGTTCCATCCACCTGGAAGCAAATTGTGGGTATTTGTCGTTTCTAACGGCTGAGTAATATTCCATTGTATACATAAACCACATCTTTATCCATTCATCCTTCGATGGACACCAAGGCTCCCTCCAGAGTTTGGCTATTGTGGACATGGCTGCTAGAAACATCGGGGTGTAGGTGTCCCGGCGTTTAACTGCATCTGAATCTTTGGGGTAAATCCCTAACAGTGCAATTGCTGGGTCATAGGGCAGGTCTATTTTTAATTCTTGAGGAACCTCCACACAGTTTTCCAGAGTGGCAGCACCAGTTCACATTCCCACCAACAGTGTAAGAGGATTCCCTTTTCTCCACATCCTCTCCAACATTTGTTGTTTCCTGCCTTGTTAATTTTCCCCATTCTCATTGGTGTGAGGTGGTATCTCATTGTGGTTTTGATCAGTATTTCCCTGATGGCAAGTGATGCAGAGCATGTTCTCATGTGCATGTTGGCCATGTGTATGTCTTACTTTGTGAGATTTCTCTTCATGTCTTTTGCCCATTTCATGATTGGATTGTTTCTTTGCTGTTGAGTTTAATAAGTTCTTTATAGATTTTGGACACTAGCCCTTTATCTGATATGTTATTTGCAAATATCTTCTCCCATTCTGTAGGTTGTCTTTGAGTTTTGTTAACTGTATCCTTTGCTGTGTAAAAGATTCTTATCTTGATGACGTCCCATTAGTTCATTTTTGCTTTTGTTTCTTTTGTTTTCGTGGATGTATCTTGCAAGAAGTTACTGTGGCCAAGTTCAAAAAGGGTGTTGCCTGAGTTCTCCTCTAGGATTTTGATGGAATCTTGTCTCACATGTAGATCTTTCATCCATTTTGAGTTTATCTTTGTGTATGGTGCAAGAGAGTGGTCCAGTTTCATTCTTCTGCATGTGGATGTCCAATTTTCCCAGCACCATTTATTGAAGAGACTGTCTTTCTTCCAGTGGATCGTCTTTCCTCCTTTATCGAATATTAGTTGACCATAAAGTTCAGGGTCCACTTCTGGGTTCTCTATTCTGTTCCATTGATCTATGTGTCTGTTTTTGTGCCAGTACCACACTGTCTTGATGACCACAGCTTTGTAGTACAACCTGAAATCTGGCATTGTGATGCCCCCAGATATGGTTTCCTTTTTTTTAAAATTCCCCTGGCTGTTCGGGGTCTTTTCTGATTCCACACAAATCTTAAAATAATTTGTTCTAAGTCTCTGAAGAAAGTCCATGGTATTTTGATAGGGATTGCATTATACATGTAAATTGCCCTGGGTAACATTGACATTTTCACAATATTAATTCTGCCAATCCATGAGCATGGAATATTTTTCCATCTCTTTGTGTCTTCCTCAATTTCTTTCAGAAGTGTTCTACAGTTTTTAGGGTATATTTTGAGAACCATTTGAATGGTAAATGGTTCTCCAACCTTTTATTTTCAGGTTGTAGGTGTCCTTCTGTCTAAAATGAGTCTCTTGTAGACAGCAAATAGATGGGTCCTGCTTTTTTATCCAGTCTGAAACCCTGCGCCTTTTGATGGGGTCATTAAGCCCGTTCACGTTCAGAGTTACTATTGACAGATATGAGTTTAGTGTCATCATGGTATCTATTTAGTCCTTGTTTTTGTGGATTGTTCCACTGAACTTCTTCTTAAAGGGGAATTTTAAGAGTCCCCCTTAAAATTTCTTGCAGAGCTGGTTTGGAGGTCACATATTCTTTCAGTTCCTGCCTGTCTTGGAAGCTCTTTATCTCTCCTTCCATTTTGAATGAGAGCCTTGCTGGATAAAGTATTCTTGGTTGCATGTTCTTCTCATTTAGGACCCTAAATATATCCTGCCAGCCCTTTCTGGCCTGCCAGGTCTCTGTGGAGAGGTCTGCTGTTACCCTAATATTCCTCCCCATGAAAGTCAGGGACTTCTTGTCTCTTGCTGCTTTAAGGATCTTCTCTTTATCTTTGGAATTTGCAAGCTTCACTATTAAATGTCGAGGTGTTGAACGGTTTTTATTGATTTTAGGAGGGGATCTCTCTATTTCCTGGATCTGAATGCCTGTTTCCCTTCCCAGATTGGGAAAGATTTCAGCTAGGATTTGTTCAAATACATATTCTGGCCCTCTGTCCCATTCGGCGCCCTCGGGAACCCCAATTAAACGTAGGTTTTTCTTCCTCAGGCTGTCATTTATTTCCCTTAATCTGTCTTCATGGTCCTTTAATTGTTTGTTTCCTTTTTCCTCAGTTTCCCTCTTTGCCATTAACTTGTCTTCTATGTCACTCACTCGTTCTTCCACCTCGTTAACCCTCCCGTCGTTAGGACTTCTAGTTTGGATTGCATCTCATTCAATTGATTTTTAATTTCTGCCTGATTGGATCTAAATTCTGCAGTCATGAAGTCTCGTGAGTCCTTAATGCTTTTTTCTAGAGCCACCAGTAGCTGTATAATAGTGCTTCTGAATTGGCTTTCTGACATTGAATTGTAATCCAGATTTTGTAACTCTGTGGGAGAGAGGGCTGTTTCTGATTCTGTCTTTTGAGGTGAGGTTTTCCTTCTAGTCATTTTGCTCAGTGCAGAGTGGCCAAAAACAAGTTGTATTGGAAAACGGGGGAGTATCTTCTGAATCTGTAGACTTTAAGTCCCTTGACTTCCCCTGGAACTGGTCCGTCTAGCTGGTCTTCTGGGGGAGGGGCCTGTTGTGCTGATTTTCAGGTGTTAGCACTTGGGGGAGCTGCTCTGCCCCTGCCTGCTGCAGGGCTCAGCGGGGGTTGTTTACCCCGTGAGGCCCCAGGAGGAACAGCCGCAGTGGCTATGGCAACTCTGGAAGCCTGGATTCAGCCTCCTCAGGAACTACTGGGGCTCTCTGTCTGCAGGGCCTGGAGGCTCCGGGGCGGGGCCGCTGATCTGCTCAGCTCGGGCAGGAGCGTCCTCGCTGTCCTGGGCCCTCCCGGCCTCTGCCTGTCCCGGGGGAGGCCGGATCCTGGGCTGTGTCCCGGCGCCCTGTGCTCCGGGGCCTGCGCTGTGGGATTCGCGCTCCCGCCCCGCAGCCCCCTCCGCGGAGCCGCCGCCCAAGCCCCTCCGAGCTGCTCCGGCCCCGCCGTGCGCGCTGCAGCCCTTAGGGAGCTCGGCGCACTCTCCCGGGGCGCAGGTGTCTGTTAGTGTCCCCGGGAGCCCGAGGGCATCCCCGCCCTCCTGGGTCCTGCTCCAGCTCCCTGCGAGCCCCTTTCCGCCCGCCCGGGAAGGTTGGTGCAGCTCCTGCTCCTCCGGGACGGGGCTCTCCTGTCCTGGGGACACTCGCCCCGGCCTCAGCCCGGCTCCTCGCGGGGCCCCTCCCCCTCGGAGGCCTTTTGTGTCTTTATTTCTTTTTCCCCGTCTTCCTACCTTGATAGAAGCGCGAACTCTTCTCACTGTAGCGTTCCAGCTGATCTCTCTTTAAATCTCAGGCCGAATTCGTAGATTTTCAGGATGATTTGAAGGTTATCTAGGTAATTTTGTGGGGACAGGTGATTTGGGGACCCTGCTCTTCAGCCATCTTGCCCCTCCTGAGAATTCTGTATTGCCAGAAAGGAAGTGGGTGGGGGACTGACAAAATGGGTGAAGGGAAGTGGGAGGTTCAGCATTCCAGTTATAGTAAGTCACAGGGATAAAAGTACAGCATAGGGAATATAGTCAATAGCATTGTAATAGCATTATGCAGTAACACATAGTAACTGCACTTGTGGTAAGCATGGGTAACAATATGGACCTGCTGAATCACTATGCTGTACATCTGAAACTAACATAACATTGTGTCAACTATACTTAAATTTTAAATAAATAAACAAACAAAAAAACAAACAAATGTTAAACAACAAATGTATATGTAATTAGTGGGAATATTACTCCCGGAGCGATTGAAAGATTAAAAATTATAAAATTCAGCTTTTCCCCTCCAGAAGTCCTGCTTTATTTACATAGTTTATTTCCATAAACTAGCAAGATGTTAAAAATCGTCAAGGGCACTCAGATACCCAGGAAGAGACTGCTATAAAAATAGTCTTGATAGCTGTGCCTCTATTTCGCTACATAATGCCTAATATTTTCCTTTTGTGAGCTCCCACTCCTGGACACTCCTCTGCAGGGCTCCGTGGCACTCTCCAACGTTTAAGTCTTTAGCCTGCCAAGCCACAGACTCCCAAAACAAGGAAAGGCCTAAATGACCAAGAATAGGAGCTATCTCCTGCCCCTGGAGAACAGCTAAATGGAGTCTGAGTCATCCATGCAGTCATCTCAATGCAGGCATGCTACCAACTACCCAGATGAAGCTCTGTTATTGATCTGACAGCCAGTCCTACTCCACCAAACCCTACACATACATGGGATGGGCAACCAAGAATTAGGAAAAGAGGTGGAGCGATGACAAGACCACTATCTTGGGCCATTCATCTATATACTTCAGAATCTCCATTTCTCCTATTATTTGAGAGGATCTAAGCCACCTTCTGTAAGTTGGGGTAGAAGTCGGTGATATCCCATTCCTATTTGCTGTAAACACTCTTGCCAGTGACTCAAATGATTTTAATGTTTCTCAACAGAAACCCTGAAGTATGCTAGTTCCTTCAATTAAACCAACAAATAAAAAAGCTGCTCAGGACTCTCTGGAACCCTCTATTTTAATATACCTTTCTAAACAACACCCAATATCTTGTGTCCTTCGTTCTTGTAATTCATCTGTATCTATCTTGTCATAAACCCCAATATTCTCACATCTTTTCTAAAACTCTTATTCCTATTCAACCAGTGTGGTTCTTCTTGAAACGTGCCCTCCCTGCTAATTCCCAGTAGACCCACTCCCTATCTTTCTATGGTTAAAGATTTACCTACAAGATGAGAAAAAGAAAGGGGAAAAATCTAAATTTAAACCTCATTTCTGTCACGTATCAAATCCAAGTAAGTCACTTTAATCCCTTTTGAGTTTCAAATTCTCCACTTCAACAACTACTTGGTAAGGATGTTAAACATGGGTTACTGTGCCAGGGGGTATTTTGATTAACGCATCTCTAAGATTCTTTAAAACCCTGAAATTCTATCTGCTTTTCTTTTTGTCTGTAGAAAAATGCAGAATACTTAGCTGGCAGAAATGGAAAAAAGTAATGGAATAAAATAAACACCAAGAAAATTGGAGAAGAAAATTAACAAAAAAATCAAGTAAAGCCTATAGAAAAAGCATGGAGAAAAGGAAAAAATTCTACAAAAAAAAAAAAAAAAGAAAGAAAAAGAAAAAGAAAGAAAAAGCTTCACAGAATTTATCAAAGGCTTAAAGGGGAAAATTAGACTGAGAAGTCAGTAAATAGACAACGGCTTAGAAATATCCTCTAAATAGATGATACATTTAATTAACGTAACATGGTCTATACCTAGGTTACGTATCCTTCACTCTCAGAAAAATCATTCATCTCAAGGGGAGCAGACGGCACTATATCTAAGAACTTGCCACACTAGGGCTTGCTTATGTAAAAGCTATGGTACTGTGGCCATAGGTAACTGAGATCCACTCCAAAATCTTTGACAGTAAAAACAAGAAACTAGTTACCACTGCAATAATTACCTCTAGTTATCACTAGTGGTGTCAAATATATTAGGAAAATGCTTGGACTAGCCTGGTTCTTAGGAAAACTCTAAACCAGAGTTAACACATAGTGAAATTCAACTTTCTGAGTTGATCTAAGATCTGTATCCTAATTCCAGTGCTGCTGAGGGACAAAAGAATGGATGTGGGAGCCACACAGGCTAACAGTCAAATCATGGGTCTGCTATTCATTAACTATGGAATCCTGGGTCAATTAATCCACCTCCCTGAACCACAGCTGACTAATTAATAAAAAGTAGGCTATAACAGCACAGCTACTTGGTGAAACTATTGCAATGACTATATAACACATATTAAGCACATAATATAATGTCTAGCCCAGAAGACAACACTCAACAAATGCTTTTCTCTGCACTCCCTTAGTTAACACATAATTTTTAAAAATCCATAAAAATCCTACCTGCTTAAAGAGTCTTCTTCAGAATTCTTCTCCGCTAGTAAAGAAAGCAGCAAAAAACATTTTAAATCAACAATAGAAAAATACAGAATATTAAAAGTGTAAGACTGATGATGACTTGTTAAAAAGTATTCCTTTGGGACCATACCTGGAAACCACACCACAGTGGATATTAATTGTACTTTTGGTAGGCAGTTAATGCATTAAGAAATCTCATTTTCTCCTCTATATTTACCAAATTCAAGAAAAGAATTCTCGTTATCAGAATGTGATACCTACAAGTGAATGTTTCTAATGACCATTATTGTAACCAAACCCCATGAGACTGACAGGAAATGGTGTCATTAGCAGAGTCATTATCATAAAGTGACAATGGCAAACTTAAATAGCATGAGTTTTCTGGACTTCCACTACTAGGAGCAGTTAAAACAGACTATACATATTTGGCTGTAACACAGTGGAACTTCTCCAGCTTTTCAGTAGAGACTGCTAAGTTCAGGATGAAACACCTCATCACAGTTCAGCTCAGCTGAGGCCATGATCCTGGGGTCCTGGGTGGAGACCCTCAGGGAGTCTGCTTTTCTCTCTCCCTCTGCCCTCCCACCTCACTTGGGCTGTCTGTCTCTCTCTCTCTCAAATAAATAAATAAACTCTTTTTAAAATCTTTTATTGGGGATCCCTGGGTTGTTCGGCGGTTTAGCACCTGCCTTCCGCCCAGGGCGAGATCCTATAGTCCCAGGATTGAGTCCCACATCAGGCGCCCCGCATGGAGCCTGCTTCTCCCTCTGCCTGTGTCTCTACCTCTCTCTCTCTCTCTGTGTGTCCCTCATGAATAAATAAATAAAATCTAAAAACAAAAAACAAAAAAAAAAAAAAGGAAAGGAGAGAAAAAATACTGCCAACCTGAAAGCTGAAAAGGAGACAAGTGGGATCCTGATGACATCACTGAACCATCAAAACAATTCTGGTTCCTATTGTTTTAGTCCCTATTTGTTTGTTTTTTTAAAGATTTATTTATTTATTTTAGTGATAGCATGCATGCAAGTGAGGGTATAAGAGTGGAGGGGAGGGGCAAAGAAAGAGAATCTTCAAGCCGACTCCCCAGTGAGCAAAGAATCCAACGCCCAACACAATGTGGGGCTTCATCTCATGAGATCATACCTGAGCCACCAAGGGTTGATGCCTAACTAAGCCACCCAGGTGTCACCATTATAGTCACTATTAGAAGTCACCTGCTAGGGGATCCCTGGGTGGCTCAGCAGTTTAGCACCTGCCTTCGGCCCAGGGCATGATCCTATAATCCCGGGATTGAGTCCCACATCAGGCTCCCTGCATGGAGCCTGCTTCTCCCTCTGCCTGTGTCTCTACCTCTTTCTCTCTCTCTCCCTCATGAATAAATAAATAAAAATCTTAAAAAAAAACACACACACACAAAGATAGCTCTATTCTATTATGAGCACCTTTAAAGACCAAAACTCTATTTCATCTTTGTTTCCTGTAACACGCAAAACCAAAGCCAACCTAAAGAATTTCTGTGATAGAGAATCACTAACTTAAAGGTTTCTTCCTACATTTCAAACCATAAAATGTACTAGGCCCCACATCTAGGAAGCAATGTTAACATCTTTGTTACTGGGAACCATTTTTGTGCTTTGATTATAATTTGTTGAGCCCAAGTTGCCCTATTTGAATATTTATGATGATAATCTTTTAACTAATGGCAGCAGAGTATCTCATTCCTACAAAATTATGGTATTATTCAACAAACAGGAGAAAACATTGTCCTCATTAAGTCAACATATCACATTTTGACTTAAGAGAAATGAAGTTACTAATAGTGAGATTGTGTTGATATAACATGTAAAATAACGTACTCTTCTCACTTCTCAACAGGCTTCCGTACTATAGTTACATTTTAAAAAAACAACCTCATTGGTACTGCTGCACACTAAGTTTTGTAGTTCTTATTGTTTGCCATTTCTATAAAGTACCAGCAGGGTATTGCAGAGTTCCAGTTTTAAGGATAGTTCCTTTTTAATGAGACAAATCACTATGTAATAATATTTGCGAAGTGAAATCTACTTGTAAAAATTAAAAGATCCATTTTTATAACAAGTATAATTTTTTATAACGTTTATAGAGGAAACATAAAAATACTAACTTAAAAATCTTTTTTTCCTTATTTACACAAAGATACCACTTGGGATTTTAGGTATCAAAACTAATAATAAGGGACCTGGGTGGGCCAGTGGTTGAGCAACTGCCTTTGGCTCAGGTTGTGACCCCAAGGTTCTGGGACTGAGTACCACATCGGGCTTCTGCACAGAGCCTGCTTCTCCCTCTGCCTATGTCTCTGCCTCTTTTTGTGTGTCTCTTATGAATAAATCAATAAAATCTTAAAAAAAACTAAAATAATGAATTTTTTCAGACAATATTGCCTCATATCTTATATTTCCTACAATTAACTTCTTAAATAATTCTGAATCCTAGACTATTAAGAAAGAAATTAAGAAAAAAAATACCCATGCAATTTACACATTGGATTTGTTTTCTTTTTTTCATTGCTCTTTCATTATCAAAACTTCCTTACTCTGACTTCATCTATGTTAGGACCATTACCATATGTAATTCACTCTAAAAAGTCATACCTAGATTGTGATTTTGTGAAGAATTTTCAGGTTTCATTTCTTCTTTATGTTCAGAAATTAGTTGGTGACTGCTACGTATAACAAAGAGTGATAAACAATGTTACTCTTTTAATACTGATATGAAAAACATTTACCAAATGTATCAAATTCTTGAGTATTTCAAACAATATCAGAGTTAACATCAAAACTTAAATTACCCAATAGATACTTAAAATTTATAAGTTCTAAAAACTTTTATTAAGTATGTAATTATAATTAAAGGAGAATCAAAAGTAAGATCAACTAGTCATGAATTGAGGGCATTATAGCTCAGTAAACTAAGAGCTTGCCATAATGGAAAGTGTCTCAAACCCTGAAGTCCTAGCTCTATAACCAACAGCTATTTGTTCTTGGACCAGGCACTTCTCTTCCAGTCAAAGTCTTCCTCTAAAATAGGAATTTTATTGTCTTAGTTTACGAGGTTGTTAGAGGAGGATTTAATGAGATATTATACCCAAAACATGGCCTCTCAGGAAAGGTGATGCCCACTACTCTGGGAAGGGCAATATGAGACCTTCCATGACCTAATAAGAAAAGGCTCTCCACAGGATTTAAAGGAGGCTTGGGGTATAGATCTAGGAACAAAGGAGAAAGCAAAGTCCAGTCTCTTCCTGTAGCATTATTTGAATGTCTTTAACAGCTTAGAATGGTCACAACTAAAATCTGCTAGCAGAAAAGACGAACAAAATCCTCAAAGGATAATTCATCATGAAGGTCTGGGCTAACATATGGTTTCCACATAAGGTTTTTGAGTATGAAGGAAAGGGTGTATGGGGCTAAAGCCAGGAGTCCCAGCTGCCAGAATAGCATGCCAGTGCTTTGGAATAGCAGCTGAGCACATAATCATATGTAATAAACTAAAAAAGGTTGTAAGTTTGAAGTCTAAGTGTGGATCACCATGAGGACTGAGGAATGAGGATTAGCAAGGGCATCCTGGGAGTAAAAGTCAATCATGATCAGACTGCAGAACCAGTTTCAATAGCGATGCTGCAGGAACAGAATCAACGGAAACCACAGGATGATGAGCATGTCCTTTTTTCCATCCAAATGGCTTATGAAGGAGGAATGTCTCTCTGGTATTAGGGAAATCCTTATGTTCTTGGAAAATTCAAGGGGGAAAGTATAGGCCATAACCCTCAAGGAAAAGTATAGCGTTTTCTACTGAACTGAACATCTTAAGACACAAGTAACTAGTTAGAAAAAACAGATAATGAGGTGCCTGGGTGGCTCAGTAGGTTAAGCATCTGCCTTTGGCTCAGGTCATGGTCTCAGGATCTAGCCCTGTGTCAGGTTCCCAGCTCAGCAGTGTTGACTTCTCCCTCTCCCTCCGCTGCACCTCCTCACTTGTGCTCTCTCTCAAATAAATAAACAAAATCTTTTTTAAAAGCACCCAGATGTAACATTATGTGTACCCCATGCAGAAGGGTTATAGTCGGAATGAAACAGATACAGTGAGGATCCCTAAGGATAAAGGTCTCAAGAGTCCTGACATAAAGAATCCTGCACCCATTGCTACTCCTAACTAGTCTAGCCTTTTGCTTTGTTTCTGGCTGATGATAGGCTCTAACTCACTGCCATCCCCAAACTACCTGAATCAAATTATAACTTCTCAGCTGTTACATAGAAAGTAACAGTATTTTACCATATTTTAAACCCTGGTATAGTAATAACTAGCATTTTTAAAGTCATTTTCACTTTATTTTAAAATTTTATTTACTGAATCATGACAGACTTACAGAGAGAGAGGAGGCAGAGACATTGGCAGAGGGAGAACCAGGCTCCTCGCAGGGAGCCAGATGTGGGACTCAATCCTCAGACCCCGGGATGGTGCCCTGAGTCCAAGTCAGATGCTCAACAGCTGAGCCACCCAGGTAGCACAGTAATGACTAGCATTTAATGTAAACACTTATATATTAAAACTATTAATAATAGCATATTCTTCTGCAGTCCATCCATATACATCTTAAGAAAACCTTTCTAAAGAGAAGCCTGAGTATATTTCATGGTTCATCTTTTACAGCATATTTTATAGCAAGCTTGAGGACCGTTCTAAAATAACAGAAAGATAACTTCATCCTTAAGAACTCAGAGTATTTAAGCACCTAATTTGATATATTTTATCAGGGTAACATCTCACTTGTTGCTACAGAATTGACCACTAACATGTTCAAGTGTTCATCTTTGAAAATTACCCCCATGGCTAAAATGAAGGAACAATAAAGAAGCCTATTGTTCCACATGGGTATTATAGTAGAAGTTGCTAATTTAAAATCCTTTGATGAACAAGAAACTATGCTGAGATCACTTATCTCAATAGGTGAGGGTTTTTAAAAAGAATTCTCCATTTTGCAACACCTAGGTGGCTCAAAGGTTGAGCGTCTCTGCCTTTGGCTCAGGGCCTGAGTCCCACATTGAGCTCCCTGCATGGAGCCTGCTTCTCCCTCTCTGCCTGTGTCTCTAGCTCTCTCTCTGTGTCTCTCACGAATAAATAAATAAAGTTATTTTAAAAATATTCTCCATTTCTTCCTTAAACTGATACAGTGTACCTCCAAGCCACCTGGAGACCAGGTCAGTGTAAAAGCTATTTACAGGTTTAAAACAATAATATTAATACTACTACTAATAAAACAGTCATAGTTGCAGTTGATGATGCTAAGTTAAGCATGTAGTAGGCACTAAATTAAATGCTATATATATAAAATATTATTTACACACCACCAGCCTTGAAGAATATATTATTATCCTCTTCTTCATATCTGGAAATGAATGCATCTGTTTCCAAGGTCACATACCCAGCAAGGAGGCAAGCTAGGAATTAAACCTAGTCTTCTGTGAATCTAAAGCCCATCTCTTTTCTCTTTATCACCCAACTATGATTTCTCCTCATTAAAGTAAAAGTCTATTCAAATAAAGTTCTCTTTCATACTTCTACCGATACCAATTAAAAATGAAAATAATAAAACATACAGGACATGAAAAATAAAAACTGATGAACCCATAGTAGCTGGTAATAGTAATTAACCACTTCAGGATCATCTAACAACATCAGTATTCTTCCACAAAAAGTAATAATGCAAAGAGTCATCCAAGAAACAAAACAACTCCTATTAATGCTTAATATGCATCTTTTAAGGAAAAGTACGAAGTAGAAACTTAATAAACATTAATAAAAGGGTTAAGAGGTCCAAAATTGTGTTATAAAATAACTAAAAGTTGGGAGTCTACACTATAAAACTAATATTAACATGAAACCCTTTTAGCTAATATAAAATCATAGGGCAAAAAAACTATTGCAAATGACATCGATCAATTTTACAAAGGATTCTGAATTCTGCTATACACTGTTCTTCATGTTGGCCTGTCAGAATAATTGCTTTCTACCTAACTGATGACATGCTGACATTATTACCACATAATTATAAATTAATCCTCTTGCTACCAAGCTAACCTTTCTGACTTGAGAAATTGTTAAGGTTTAAAGAAAAAAACATAACAAAAAATACTGTACCTTTTAACCTTATCAACTGCAAGTATATTTGCTCCTTTTCCTACTAAAAATTTCACCATTTGCTCTTTGTTTTCATTTACAGCAACTAAAAGTGGTGTCAGGTCATCCTGTAAAAGTGCAAAAACAACTTATAATTTACAAAATTACATATTTGCATACTGAATTGTAAAACTTCTAAATGATCCTCTAAACTTAAACATATAGAAAGAAATAAAAATAGCCCCTTCCTTCTCATCCCTCTGTGATTTCACTAGCTTTTCCTTCTTTTTAAAACACCCCTTTCTCAGGGAGCCTGGGTGGCTCAGTTGGTCAAGTGTTTGCCTTCAGCTCATGAGCTCAGGTCATGATCCCAGGGTCTCAGGATAGAGCCCCACCTTGGGTTCCCTCTGCAGCAAGGAGTCAGCTTCTCCCTCTACCTCTGTCCCTCCCCTCCACTTGTGCTCTCTCTTTTGCTCGCTCATTTTCTCTCAAAAAAATAAAAATTTTAAAAAGTAAAATTAAAAAAATAAAATAGACCTCTACCTCTTCAACAGATGAATGGCAGTCATTCTACAAACTCACTTCAAACGTTGCCTGCTTCCAAGAATCTTTGCTTCTATCACAATATAGATCATGGTGTACTCTAGTTATTTTATTGCACCCCATCTAAACCAAGAGCTTCTCAAAGGAAGGTGCTATTTTTTTTTATCTCTGTATCCCCAATCTCTAGAACATAGTAGTAAATACTTAAAGTATTTTATTGATTTTAATGAATACCTCTGGAGTTGTGTTTCTTATATTCCAAAGAATATATACTTTGCAAGAAGGTACATACTGTGCCCCAAAAGAAAGATTCAGTGATCATTTGTGTTTGAGAAATATCACAAAACTGCACTATATATCTAACACAAAAGAAGTCCATTTAAATTTGCTTATCCCCATTTGACAATACCTTTTTGTAGCAAACCTAAATAGTTGAGAAATAAGAGTTCCCAGGGGTATAGTTTTAAGAACTTTCCAATAAAAGTGAAGGTTTTCTCCAGGTTGTATAAACTTGCTTGATTCTATTCTATCAATGGTATGGGGAGCTCAGATGTCAACATAAATCACTTCTGCTCCAAATAAGTCACTAAGGAGATGGACTCCGAATGAAAAGAGAGAGGTTTCAGGGCACCTGGTTGGCGCAGCTAATTGAGGGACTCTTGGTTTTGTTTCAGGTGGTGATCTCAGGGTCGTGGGATCAAACCCTGCATTGGGTTCTGGGCTCCCCTGGGTGCTCAGCACCAGGTTTGTTTAAGATACTCTATCCCTCTGCCCCTCCTCCACCCCCACAAGACTGTGCATGTGTGCGTTCTCTCTCTGAAATACATAAATCTTTGTAAAAATTAAAAATAAAAATAAATAAAAATAAAAGAAACAAGATTCAAATGAACGTTGCTTAATACTAAATAATCCTTGGTTAAGGAAGGCACATGATGAGATGAGCACTGGGTTTTATACTTTATGTTGGCAAATTGAATTTATTTATTTTTTTAAAGATTTATTTATTTATTTATGATAGACATAGAAAGAGTGACAGAGAGAGGCAGAGACACAGGAGGAGGGAGAAGCAGGCTCCCTGCTGGGAGCCTGACCTGGGACTTGATCCAAGGACTCTCCGATCGCGCCCTGGGTCAAAGGCAGGCGCTAAACTGCTGAGCCATCCAGGGATCCCCTGGCAAATTGAATTTAAATAAAATTTTAAAAATAAATCAACAGATCAAAAAATAAGTAGTCCCTGGAATTTCTATTATAAAATGATTAATTTTTATCTTAGCTGTTAGAAAGCTCAATATGAGATTTTTTTAACTTTTACCTTTTTAATTTAAATTCAGTTAATAACATATAGTGTATTATTAGTTTCAGAGGTAGAGGTCAGTGAGTCATCAGTCCTATGTAACACCCAGTGCTCCTTCCAACATGTGTCCTCCGAATGTCCATCACCGGGTTAACCCATCTTCCCACCCCACTCCCTCCAGTGACCCTCAGTTTGGTTCCTATAATTAACAGTCTCTTATGGTTTGTCCCTCACTCCATCTTTTTTTATTTTTTCATCTCTTCCTCTATGATTCTCTTTTTTTTTTTTTCTTAATTCCATGACAGTCACAGAGAGAGAGAGAGAGAGAGAGAGAGAGAGAGAGAGAGAGGCAGAGACACAGGCAGAGGGAAAAGCAGGCTCCATGCACCGGGAGCCCGATGTGGGATTCGATCCCGGGTCTCCAGGATTGCGCCCTGGGCCAAAGGCAGGCGCCAAACCGCTGCGCCACCCAGGGATCCCTGATTCTCTGTTTTGTTTCTTAAATTCCACATGTGAATGAGATTATATAATTGTCTTTCTATGACTGACTTAGGATATTACGCGAAAGAAAATAAGTCGATATGAGATTTTATTCTCAATTATAAAATTCTGGGATCCTAAAGCATATCTACTTCTAAAAAAAACCTGTTTGTATTCTAGTTTCCACTATGATTGCTACTTATAATTATTTTATATTTTAGGCAAAATGTAAATCAGAAATAAAAATATAATGGCTTATCAATAAAAATTCTTTTTTTTTTAATCAATAAAAATTCTAATACTGGATGAGCACCGGGTGTTTATATACTGGCAAATTGAATTTAAATAAAATATTTTAATCAAACAAAAAATTCTAATACTGATTTATACAGATTATTTTTAGCATAATCAAAGCTACTAAATTATTTGCATTTTTGGGGAATAATACCAAGGAGGAAGATAATACTATCTGCAATATGCATAATCTAGCCAACTAGAACCAGGATTACTCTCATATGGCTTACAGATATTCCAAAAGGAATATAAAAAACAACTTATAAAGTCTAATTTGGAAAATTCATTCCTGAGGGACCTGGGTGGCTCAGTGGTCGAATATCATGATCCTGGGGTCCTGGGATCAAGTCCTGCAACAGGGTCCCCACAGAGAGCCTGCTTCCCCTCCCTGCCTAGGTCTCTGCCTCTCTCTGTGTCGCCCATGAATAAATAAATAAAGTATTGAAATAAAAAAGAAAAAGAAAATTCTATTTCTAAGAAATTAACATGAATACATAATATATATTATAAATTAATATGGATTATCCTGAAAATCTTGAAATCTTTATCAACATATACCATAAACAAACACTTGTAAAACAATCAATGTGATTCATCATATCAACAAGAGAAAAAACAGGAACAATATGATCCTCTCATTAGATGCAGAGAAAGCATTTGACAAAATACAGCATCCATTCCTGATCAAAACTCTTCAGAGCGTAGGGATAGAGGGAATATTCCTCAACATCTTAAAAGCCATCTACGAAAAGCCCACAGCAAATATCATTCTCAATGGGGAAGCACTGGGAGCCTTTCCCCTAAGATCAGGAACAAGACAGGGATGTCCACTCTCACCACTGCTATTCAACATAGTACTGGAAGTCCTAGCCTCAGCAATCAGACAACAAAAAGACATTAAAGGCATTCAAATTGGCAAAGAAGTAGTCAAACTCTCCCTCTTCGCCGATGACATGATACTCTACATAGAAAACCCAAAAGCCTCCACCCCAAGATTGCTAGAACTCATACAGCAATTTGGCAGCATGGCAGGATACAAAAAAATGCCCAGAAGTCAGTGGCATTTCTATACACTAACAATGAGACTGAAGAAAAAGAAATTAAGGAGTCAATCCCATTTACAATTGCACCCAAAAGCATAAGATACCTAGGAATAAACCTAACCAAAGAGGTAAAGGATCTCTACCCTCAAAACTACAGAACACTTCTGAAAGAAATTGAGGACGACACAAAGAGATGGAAAAATATTCTATGCTCATGGATTGGCAGAACTAATATTGTGAAAATGTCAATGTTACCCAGGGCAATTTACACGTTTAATGCAATCCCTATCAAAATACCATGGACTTTCTTCAGAGAGTTAGAACAAATTATTTTGAGATTTGTGTGGAATCAGAAAAGACCCCGAATAGCCAGGGGAATTTTAAAAAAGAAAACCATATCTGGGGGCATCACAATGCCAGATTTCAGGTTGTACTACAAAGCTGTGGTCATCAAGACAGTGTGGTACTGGCACAAAAACAGACACATAGATCATTGGAACAGAATAGAGAACCCAGAAGTGGACCCTGAACCACTTAGTTGATTATGATCAACTAATATTCGATAAAGGAGGAAAGACTATCCACTGGAAGAAAGACAGTCTCTTCAATAAATGGTGCTGGGAAAATTGGACATCCACATGGAGAAGAATGAAAGTAGACCACTCTTGCACCATACACAAAGATGGATGAAAACTCGAAAGTGGATGAAAGATCTACATGTGAGACAAGAGTCCATCAAAATCCTAGAAGAGTACACAGGTAACACCCTTTTTGAACTTGGCCACAGTAACTTCTTGCAAGATACATCCATGAAGGCAAAAGAAACAAAAGCAAAAATGAACTATTGGGACTTCATCAAGATAAGAAGCTTTTGCACAGCAAAAGAAAGAGTCAACAAAACTAAAAGAAAACCTACAGCATGGGAGTAGATATTTGCAAATGATGTATCAGATAAAGGGCTAGTATCCAAGATCTATAAAGAACTTAGTAAACTCAACAGCAAAGAAACAAACAATCCAATCATGAAATGGGCAAAAGACATGAACAGAAATCTCACAAAGTAAGACATACACATGGCCAACATGCACATGAGAAAATGCTCTGCATCACTTGCCATCAGGGAAATACAAATCAAAACCACAATGAGATACCACCTCACACCAGTGAGAATGGGGAAAATTAACAAGGCAGGAAACCACAAATGTTGGAGAGGATGCGGAGAAAAGGGAAGCCTCTTACACTGTTGGTGGGAATGTGAACTGGTGCAGCCACTCTGGAAAACTGGGTGGAGGTTCCTCAAAGAGTTAAAAATAGACCTGCCCTATGACCCAGCAATTGCACTGCTGGGGATTTACCCCAAAGATTCAGATGCAAGGAAACGCCGGGACACCTGCATCCCGATGTTTCTAGCAGCAATGTCCACAATAGCCAAACTGTGGTAGGAGCCTCGGTGTCCATCGAAAGATGAATGGAT